CTCACCCACACCCTCACGTCCACACTCCCACCCACACGTCCACACTCCCACCCACACGTCCACACTCTCACCCACACCCACACCCACACCCACACCCACACCCACATCCTCACCCACACCCTCACGTCCACACCCTCACGTCCACACCCTCACCGTCAATCTCACCCTCATCCACGTCCTCACTCTCATCCGCATATACAGCGTTTTACCTATATTAAGAAGATTTAATCTTAGATTGTTGATTTTCTTTTTTTTTCTTTTCAAGTTGTATGATATTGACATGATCAATCATTGAAATAAACAATATTACTTGATCTTTTTCAAAAAAACTAATAAAACAAATTGATGATAAATACTTATTCATTTTCACGAATTTGATGAAAAGTAGAATAATTTTTTGTCAAAGTCTATATGTTTTCCATTTAACATCAATTCATTTATTTCCTTCATTATCATTGTGAATATTTCAAATGATTCGAATTATTAATTATTATACATAGTTAATTTTATTCAAGAAGTTGTTGACGACAAATACATTTGACAGTGATGTATGATGAAAACACTTTTCATGCTTTTTTTATAACGTCAACATATATATGATGATGTATTAGAGATTTTTCATTAAATTATATATAGATGATTGATTGAAGAAATAGTAGAGAAAGAAGTCTTTGAAATAATTTTAGCTTCTCATTTGATAAAATCATGAATGATGAATACCTTGGCTAACATTTCACGTTGTCCCGTAGGCCTATCGCGTATTGAGGCCACTCGCTGTGCGGATTAGTTTCTGATATGTCGGTCGATCTTGCACTAGGTGGAACAAGTTTTATCTGTTACATGCACACCAGTTTTTAATGTCTTCCAGCCATTCGCTATATGGACGTGCTTTTCAAGATTTTTCATCTATTTTTGCGAATACTGTGTGATTTATCAATCTGTTACCACCGATTCTACAGATGTGGCCGAATAATCTTAGTTTTCTTTTCTTGATTATGTCTACTATAGTTTCTACTTTTCATATCATCTTTTATACATCCGTAATTGTTAGGATCTTGACTTTATGTGGGTGTGGGTGTGCGTGTGGGGTCGGTAGGTGTGGAATAAGAGGCTAGAGCCATCTACATCCACACCCAGACCTTCACCCACACCCACACCCACGCCTTCACCCACACCCACAATTAGTGATTATGTGATGAGCACGTAGCCGCTCGACCACGTTGCGCATTTGTCTAACACTTACTCGATTCTATTTTATTCTTAACTTTTCAGCATATCAGTCATGCTCTTCATCAAAATTTTATTCGTTTTGATGATTTTATTTCTGATTGTTAATTCATATGAAATTAATCTTCATCAGACTGAATGGACAAATATTAATGATAATAACAATGAAATACAACATGATTGTATACATATTGCTATTTCGACTGAACCTAAAACGATTTTTGGTCATTTTAACTTTGTGCACTTTCCTAAAAGTAATTTTCGTCAGGTCATTTCATTATGTATGAGTGAATGGACATCGAACTGGACCTTGCAGAAAAATCTTAGCAGCACAAGTTTTACTTTTGCTAAGCTTTCCGAACTGAATATTACTAGCCAACAATTATATCTTTGGTCGGCACCGATCGATACTATTGAATCTTATCAAGAGTATTTAGATCAACTTTCTACTTCAAATAAAACATTTTTGTCGACAAAACTATTTTATAATTGTACGTTACCAAGATTTGGTCCATTATGTCAATACTCGATCCCAATGGCACAAGAGGAAGAATTTACATCATTGCACGATTTGATTTATCATTCCTACCTCAGAACGATATATATGCCGTTGTCACTAACATGTTACACTCATTTACAATGTGATCTTGGTTCAACGATGTTGTGTCTTGATTGGAATTATATTTGTGATGGTTTTGTTCAATGTATCGATGGGATTGATGAAAAAGATTGCTGGCAAATGGAAATTAAAGAATGTAAACAAAATGAATATCGATGTAAAAATGGACAATGTATACCTTTGGTATTTTTCAACGATGATTTCGCTGATGCGGAATGTCTCGACCAATCGGATAGATATTTAAAGAATGATGATACGGGGCGTATAGGCTCCACCACTGATGTTCAAAGGCCAACATTTATAAATGAAGACACTATGTGTTTAGGAGAAGTTGGCATTCGTAATCCAACCATTGATATGCCATGTCAGCGACAGGACTATTTAGTCGATTTCATGTTATGGCACACTGCAAGATCGATGTCCCTTAACTGTTGGGTAGCGCTTAGTAAGTACTTTGGATTGATAATTCGAGGAGTAACATACGACATGAATCCCTGTCAAGGCACATCATGCCATAAACTAATAAATGAGAGCTGTCTAGATATGTTTTATATGCCATCTGTACCGATTGTATTTGGTCATATCTATTTGGCTTATTCAAAAGAATATCTCACTAGACAGAAACAATGGACAAATGTACCTGAATATTTATGTTATAACGAGAAATTTTGTGGTGGATTCAATCCTGATCAAAAAGTTGTTATATTCAATAATACTATCTGCCGTCGTGTACAGGATATTCTGCCTGGTACCGTCCTAACTAGAGATGGAAATAAGATGATCTCGACATATATTCGTCAGATATCTATTGTTCTTTCTAAATGCAATACAATTTTTCGAAATAATTCTGCTTTTTGTGATAATCGAATTATGTATCAGTGTGTCAACTCTTCTAAGTGCATAACAAAAAGTCGTCTTTTTGACCGCTATCAAGATTGTGATTATGGAGATGATGAGATCATAGAACGACAGATTTTAACTGATAATGTTTGTTTGAATGGAACATCCCAAACACATTTCATGTGTCCAAAAACAAAGAAATGTATCTCTCAAAAGCTGATCAGAGATTCGAACTGTGACTGCGAACAAATTAATGACGACCGCAACACATGTCCTGATGAAGATGTTGGAGTCAAACACATTAGAGAACTTATATCTTTTCCAACAATCTGTGATGGTTTTCGTGACTTAGCTCCTTTGATGATTGATGGACAAAATCACACGGACGAAACTGAATGTAGTAAATGGGTGTGCAACAATACATACACTCGTTGTAACGGTTTTTGGGGTTGTTTCAATGGAGCTGATGAAGTTGATTGTTATCCATCATTATTATCGCGTTTGAATTGTCCAACTCATAGTCACTTATGTATTTCACCTAACACAAGCAACTTTATGTGTCTTTCAATGAACAAAGGTAATGATGGTAATATCGATTGTCTTGGTGCGACTGATGAGCCACATTTATGTCGAAATGATGCTGAAATCTATGGATCTGGATTTTATTGTGGGCCAGGTATTATCGATACTCCTGCATGTATACCTCGTACTCAGCTTTGCTTAGAAGGTTTTCCAATACCATATTGTAGAAATAATGAGCTTCACAAGTTTTGTCCACTAGTTCAGACTAAAATGCTTTTCCCTTTGAATGGTTGTGAACGAGAAGACGTCGATATTAAGCATCCAACTGACGAAATTTTATGTAATCTTTATAAATTTACACCCAATGCCGAGATTGTGCACTTTTCTCTTGGTAAAACAAATAATAGCATGTCGAGACGTCCATTTTCTTATGTTTTGACTTATTATCCTCGATTACCGTGTCATCGTGGTATTGGTTTGGGTGTATCAATAGTGAATAATGACAAGAATGTTATTCGTCAGATATGTCTTTGTCCTCAAAACTATTATGGTAATGATTGTCAATACCAAAATCAACGAGTCAGTCTCACTATGAAATTCCAAACATTTTCTGATTCGTGGCAAACACCATTTACTATTATTGTTTCACTTATTGATGAAAACTATGAACGAATTATTCATTCATATGAACAAATCACTTACCTACCAATACAATACTGTCAAACAAAATTCGATATTTATTTACCTTATTCCACTCGACCAAAAAATGAATCAAAACAATATTCAATACATATTGATGTTTATGAAAAATTGTCATTAAAATATCGAGGAAGTTTATTAATACCAGTAACATTTCTGTTTTTACCTGTTCAGCGAATTGCTGTTTTACTTAATATTCCACATACAAGCTTTGATTTCAAAAGTTGTTCAATAGATAAATGTATTCATGGTCAATGTACTAAATATTTTGATGATCCAGATCATCGAACTTTTTGTCGATGTCATGAAGGATGGACTGGTCGATATTGTACAATTAAACATAACTGTACATGTTCATCTGATTCTTTATGTATTGGTATATCATCAAATAATCGTTCAATTTGTGTATGTCCGATAAATAAATGGGGTCCTCGATGTTCAATTCCAGATTATATATGTCAATCGAATATATCATGTCAAAATGGTGGGCAATGTATATCCATTGATCAACATGTTGCATCTGCTGAAAAATTCGAATGTATTTGTCCAAAAGATTTCTTTGGAGATCGATGCGAATTAACATCAAACAAGATAATCTTATCATTTGAAAAAGATTTAATTTTACCTGAAACAATGTTAATTCATTTCATTGAAGTCAAAGAAAAAAATGATCCTGAAAAAGGAATTACGTTTAAAAAAATTTCAATTAATCGAAATCCAATAAGTATTTATTGGCCACGTCCATTTCATATTATTTTTGTTGAACTATTTCGTAAGAATTATTATTTAGTTTTTGTTGATAAAATCTACAATGAATCAACGTTAATTGAAAAAAGAATTAAATCATCCGATCATTGTCCAAATATTCAAGAAATATTCAATGAAACATTTACTAAACTTCATCTTATTCGTCGTATTAAATATTTTCATGTACCATGTCAAAATCTCTCAAGAAAATTATCATGTTTTTATGATGAAGTTTATTTTTGTTTATGTGTTGATTTTGGTAATCAACGTATAGCTAATTGTTTTGAATTTAATCATACATCAAAACGTGATTGTTCGGGAAAAAGTCTTTGTGAAAATAATGGACAATGTCTACAAGATAGTCAAACTTGTCCACAAACATCAATGTGTGTTTGCCCAACATGCTTCTATGGTACCCAATGCCAATTTACCACAAATGGATATAGTCTTTCACTTGATGCTATTTTGGGTTATCACATACAACCAAATATATATATTATACATCAAACAATTATCATTCAAATAAGTTTAACATTAACAGTACTTATGAGTATAATAGGACTTGTTAATGGTATTTTCCTTCTAATCACATTTCAAAACAAGATTTTATGGAAAAGTGGTTGTGCAATTTATCTTTTAGGTTCATCAATAACAACACTATTTACAATAATAATATTTTTTCTTAAATTTATAATATTATTACTTTCACAAATGACATTTATAACGGATCGTTCATACTTAAATTTTCAATGTATAATCACTGATTATTTCTTGCAAAGTGGTCTTCATATGGATCAATGGTTAAATGCATGTGTAGCACTAGAACGAGCTATTACTACAATAAAAGGAATTAATTTTAATGCAAAAAAAAGCAAAAAAATTGCTAAATTCAATTTAATTATATTATTCATTTTTATAATTAGTACAAATACCATTGATCCAATTCATCGACGTTTAATTGATGAAAATAATAATGATGAAAAACGAATCTGGTGTATCGTTAGTTACTCATCCAGTATTCAGATAATCAATAAAATAATAAATATTTTTCATATTTGTGTACCATTTCTTATCAATATAATTTCAACAATAATTATTATCAAAAAAACTACTCAACTTCGATCAACTGCACAAGCTAAAGAAGCTTATAAAAAACTATTAATTCAACAAATTCGAGAACATAAGCATCTTTTAGTCTCATCAATTCTATTGATTATTCTTGCTATACCACGTTTAATTATTACATTTGCTGCAGGTTGTATGAAAACACCAGCGGATTCTTGGTTATTTCTTATGGGTTATTTTATTTCATTTTTGCCACCTATACTCTCATTTATTATATTTGTTTTACCATCAAGCTTATATAAAAAAGAATTTCATAACACTATGCATCGTTATCGACAAAACATAAAATCACGGTTTCATTTTACTACATAGAACGTTTATTAGTACAGTTTCATTCAGAACTGAAATATGTAACTCACAAAGTTCCATTATTATTGATATTACATTAACACAGACAAACAATCTAATTAACTTAAATTTTGTGACGTGAGAAGATCATGTATCATTGATATTCACTTTCTCGTAGAGAAGAGTCTAGCAAGAATACATAGATTTTTTGCTTGCTTACTTGCTTATATGTCCGCACTTTCTGATTGATGGAAAAATAATGAGACAACAAAATGATGTAGAAAGCTGGACGTGGGTGTAGTCCTACAATGAGAGATGAACTGAGTATGCATTACACCCACACCCTCGATTTATCTCTTTCTTTTCCATCAGCATATTTGTGATTGCTTTATGTTATATGTTTCATTTATTCTTCAAATAAAATATCATCGCTTCTGATTTATCTAGCACCAGTATTTAGATATTACAGCATCCAACACAGTGTAAAAAGTTTTCATAGTGAGATCTCATATGTTTTTTGCAGACATCAGTTTCAGATCACGTCTGGTTTTCAGTTCCACCAATAACTAATCACCAATATTAACATCGGAAGTCGTTCCTAGTCTTGAGGGTGGGTGTCGCGTGGAATTAGGTCTCATTTTCATCGTTACCCTTGTATTATTAATGGAAGACGAAAAAACAGTTCAAACGCAACGAAAATAATGCAGATGAGTGAATTAATCATTAAAATTTTCTAGTCTATATAATATAAGTGTCGTTGGAAAGCCTAAGTCGTATTATTGTGATTATTCAGTGCCGAAACGTTACAAATACTGATTTGATATGTTGATCAATTACATATAACTATTTAACATAGTCCAGATTTTACACCAGCTGACTTACGATTTATTTTGAATCGAAATCAAAATCAAAATCGTTATACTGCAACATAGTTTATACATAACTATAAAATGTAAATTCGTGTGATAATTGTGCAAGGTGAGAAAAGTACGGCTCTGAGAGTGCATAGTCATGTAGATAAATACATTTTGTTAGAATCGAATCTTTTCAGTACTAGTTGACGAGACAAACTCCTACCACATATTGTCAACGATCAGCACAAAACAGCCAAGACGAACACGGAAAAATGACTTTGTTTAGAATCAACGAGAAACAAACAACATTGTTGAATTTGAAAATTAATGATCATGCTTCACTTTTCTAATTACGTAGCTTTCCTAGTATGTATATGATTATCTTCTTTGTAGAGATCATTATACACATTCTCACTATCTGCTTTATAATTTGTCAAAAAACTTTGAATTCGATGATTCTCCGAATCTGCTACGTAAATTTGACCATAATCATCCAGAGTCAGTCTATCAGGAGAAGGGTGTCGGTTTACAGAACACCCATAACCTCACCCATTTGTGTAGCCTAGTGGAAATGTTATTAAACGGAAAACTAAAAACAATATTCAAAAAAAATAGAATGAATTTATTAAATGCTTGGTACGTGCCATTGTAATAAGAAAATATAAAATTTTAATAAAAACAATTAAGAATATAATGACTTATCATTTTTTAAAGTTTTTATCATAGATTAAAAAGAAGATCCTTCTTAAGAGATAAGTAGATACAAAGTAATTTATTTTTTCTTGATATAAAACGTCTTGCATATATAAATTTCTTCATTTTCTCGACGACATTCATTTTTACATAAATATGGATGTTGATTCTATTCTTGAAATTGTTCGAAATACTGTTTATAGTGCAGTTTTATTGATAGCTCTTCTCTATTCATGTTTGATTCTATTGATTTCACGTTTTCGTCATCAAAATAACATGTTCATACTTAATCTTTGTCTAAATACCATCACTACTTGTGTTTATTTCATAATCTATTTTTATGCTATTGATTATGATATGCCACAATCGATGTGCATTCTTTTTAATTACGCATTCAACATCGCTAGTATACAAATTCCATTTGCTTTTGTTGCATTCACCGTTCATCGATTCTGTGTAGTTGTATATCATAGAAAAGCATTATTCAAAACAAAACGGTGGGTAGTAGTATGTATTTTAACTCAATGGATTGCTCAATTTATTATTTCATTACCATTCGTTTTCGAATACTATGATGTAAGTATTTTGTTGATGGACGAAATGATTTATTTCTATTATTGTAGGATTGTACGAGTAATACAGTATGGATGGGAATTTATACATTGATTATTGCTGTAATTTTACCATCATTAATAACTATGGTCTTGAATATTTGTATATTCATTCATGTTCGAAAATCTTCTCTTCGTGTTCAAGCTCAACAACTCAGTGGGATAACAAGTGGACCTAATCATCAACAATCAATAATCAGTCGTCGAGATATTTCTTTATTAAAACAGATGATTTTGACTTTTACAATGTTTGTCATTGGATGGACTCCTGCTCTTGTAATTAATACAATAGATATAATCATTTTCGTCGATTTTATCATACAGATGGCGAGTGTATATTTAAGTGTAATATGTTTATTAGTCTTTATAATCAATTTATTCATATGTAATCATGAAATTAGACGTTATGTATTTGATTCCATTCGACGTTGTTTTCATTGTTAAACTAAGTTGTAGCTCTATTGTCGGTGTGCGTGTAAATCTATATATCCTACTATCATATGATATATGTCAAAAAAAAAGAAATGAATATTTAAAGTTGATTATTTTTAATTGAAATTTAATTCATTGTTGTCAACATTAATTAATTAATAAAAACTTTTATATCCTATCAATTTTAATCTTTTAAACTGATTTTTAATTAATGCCAAATAAGTTTAAATATAATAATCTACCTATTATAATTATCTTTTGTTTTCTATATGTGACGTATATGGGTTTTAATTTTACGAATAAATCCTATACACAACAACAACAACGTATTATCATTATAACAATTTATATCCGATGAATATCAGACTTTTCCAATATAGACTGCATGATTTTCAAAAAAATAAGGACTAAACTAACTCACTCCACATCCATACTCTCATTCTCAACTTAATGGATATAACGGGCTGAGCAAATTGTCGACTTTTTATTTTATCAAATATAACACCAAGAAAAACAATAAGAAATCGTTCAATTGTCGCAAAAACATGATTCCATTTCAATATATCGCTTAATATATATATTAAATTAACTCACATTTATTTCAATAGATGGCACGAGTAGCAAAAGTAAAAGAAAAAAGACATCTTATTTTGTCTTCTATACATAACAACATAATGGAGACATAGCAACGTTATGTAAAAAGAAAAGAAGATCGTGTTATGGTTACATTACAAAGAATTATTTTTCAGTAGTTCGAATACAAAAAGTTACAAAGATGATGAACAGTCGAGCTAATGTCCGACCATATAATCCACATGTTCTTATTGGAAATTGGCTTGAAGATAGAGTTATGGAAGAAGTATGAAAAATACATTTTTTTTTCGCTACAGTTATTTATTTTATTTTGTAAAGGAAGTATTGAATAATTTTCTTGACAAACGTTATTCAGGTCAATTAGCATCACAAAAAATGACTGAAGTTGAACGTATGTCACAATCAGTATGTTCACACATATTAATAATTTTCAAAAGAATGATCGAATTTTATGTTATTATAGTTTCCATTGAGTGTATCTGGAGGTGATGGTTCACTTCGTTTTGGTCATCAAACAATGCTTGCTAATGCGTGGACACATTCTGCTCAATATACAGGAGAAAAATCACAATTAAATTGCTGTTTAGCACTTGGTATACCACATTCATCAGGTAAAGATGATGGAGCAACTGAAGTAACAGCTACAGGAACAACATTAGTGCGTTCAACAGCTCGTTCAGCTTTTATTATTCAAAGGTAAGATATTGATCAATCCATTAATAAATTTCGTATATATATATATATTCTTTTTTTAGACCAAATCTTGCTGTTGATTCTCAAACAGTTAAATATGGTGATGAAGTAATGATATCCGATACAAATGGACAAGTATAAGATTATTCTATTTTTTCTCTACTTATTTTAATTTCTTATTTAATCTAATTAGTTATTTTTATCCTGTGTAAGAAGTTCAACACGTTCAGCAAGAACATGTGATGTTATTTTTACAAATAATCGAAATCGAGATAGTATTTGGGTTATTATGCATCCAAGTTCACATTTAAGATTAGAATTTGAAGGAACAGAAGTTAAAGTATGCCATATTTTTTAAAACTATAGAAATTATTTCTATGACTTATTTTTTTTCTCTTCTAGATTGATGATAAGGTTGTACTTGCTCATGCATCTTCAAATAAATGTTTATCAGTTAATGAAGAACATTCAAATAGGTAAGAAAATATAATTCTTTTTTGTTATTATTAAATTATATATTCTAGATCACCATATGGACGTGAATATGAACTGTTATGTGAATTATCTACTGGTAGTAATTCATCATATAAATCACCAATTCTTTGGAAATTTCAAACTCAATCAGCATATTAATACATATATATTTATATACAACAACAACAGAAAAGACTTTTATATATGCGTGCGAGTGTTTATTTGTGTCATCTTATTCTTAAAAAAAATAGACGCACTCTTTCGGTATTATATAATATTAAAAACAAATAGAAAAAGAAAAATGTTATTCAAGGATAATTATTTAAGGATAAAAGTCATATTGACTAACATAAATCAATATTTTCATAATTGAAATTGAATTTAATAGATTATTTGTATAAATTTTCATTTCAATATTTAATTCAATTTCTTGTAATGCATTTAATTCTTTAATAACACTTAAATGTGCATTATGAGGTGGAAAACGTTTTAATTGAAAATGTTCAAATGTTGTTTGAGTTTGATTTGTATATGGATCACGTGCATTGATTAAACGTAAATCAAATTCAGCATGTTGATTTGCTGTTAATTGACTATTACGTATACGAAAGATTTCTGTTGGAACACGTATTTTAGCTTCAAATAAAAAAATTAATAGGGATTCAATATTTCTTTACTATTTTACATACCAGGTAATGCAACGAATGAATAAACAATTTTAACTGGTTTACTAATTGTACAACGTAGATTTGTATCATTTTGATTTTCATTACACCAACGTGCACTTAATTGACATCGACTGGAAGAAAGAAGATAAATAAATTAAAGAAAAATATAATATAGCTACCTATTTCCAAGTTTGTCATAGCCTTTAGGACAGTCAACAAAATAACAACGATATGAACCACGAAGATTGACACAAACATCTTCTGCGCGACAATGATGGGTATTAAGTTGACATTCATCAATATCTTGACATTGACGACCTCGTTCAAGTGAAAAACCTGATGGACATATACATTTGTAAGAACCTGGTGTATTTACACAATGATATTGACATAAATTAGCAATCATTGAACATTCATCAAGATCTCGACATGTTCGTTTATCACCATTTAATCGATAACCTTCTTTACATAAACACTAAAAACGAATCAAATTTTTATTTAAAATCAAATAAAACAAAAATTAATTTACATAATATGATCCTTGAACATTGATACATTTTTGTTCACATGTATCCGGTGATATTTGACATTCATCAATATCTAATCAATAAAATTTTTATAAAATTCGTTTTATTTTTTTACTTAATCAATTACCTTCACAAAATGCACGTTCAGCTAACATTTTATAACCGCCAATACAATCACACTAATAAGATCAGTTTTCATTTTTTATTAAATAGTAAATTTTAATAAAACTTACAGCATACGATCCAGGAGTATTACGACAGAATGAATTCGTTGGACAGATTGAATTTCCTCGTCCACATTCATCATCATCTAAATATGAAAAATATAATCATTCGTTTATCATTCATAAATAAAATACATACCAACACAGGCACCATATTTAAATATAAAACCAGGTGGACATTGACACTATGAAAGAAAATTCATAGAACTAAAAATATTTACTAAGTCTGCATACATACATAAAATGATCCATATGTATTTTTACATGTTGCCGGCGGAAGACAAGTATGATTTCCAAGTTCACATTCATCAATATCTAAAGACGAAGAGAAAAATTTATTTAAATATTCTATATAAAAGAAAAATTTTATTTCAAATAACCTAAACATTGAAGATCTTGCATTTCCAATCCATTTGCACAAGCAAATGTTTGTACACATTTATATGAACCTGGTGTATTATCACATCGTTCTCCCATTTTACATGGACTTGGTTTTTGTGCACATTCATTTATATCTTATTGATGAACAAAAAAAACAAGAAAATAATATTTTCAAATAAATACAAATTGATATAATCAACATACCTACACATTTACTTAATGCAGTTACATTGTAACCTGGTTGACATTGAATTTTTTCACAACGACCAAAAAATGCATTGAATTTTTCACCAAATGTACAATTTTGTGGTGCACATCTATATTAATAATTTCAAAAAAAATATCAAAATATTGAATTATAATTACTTGTATGTTCCAGGTAAATTTTTACATAAATACCCAGGTCTAAAAAACAATATTAGATATCTACATTTTAATTTCAGAAGAAAAAACTAATCACTTGCCTACACTCGTCAATATCTTGTTCACATTCATCAATATCTAAAAAAAAGATTCATAAATAAATCAATCAAATATAACTCCAACTTTTACCAATGCATGTTTGTGTTATCGGATCTACTTGATAACCTGTACCACAATTTCTCTCGCGGATACATCTATTAATAGATAGATAGATAGATAAATACATATTATATAGAAAATTTAATTACCTGTATGATCCAGGCATATTTTCACATCGATGTCCATATGAACAATTATGTCTACTTAGAGCACATTCATCAATATCTATATAAGAAAGAAGAAAATTATTCAGTTAAAATTATAATAATCTTACCTCGACATTCTCCTTGTTTAAGCGACCATATATAACCCGGATCACAACCTTCGACACATCGATAGGAACCTGGTGTATTTTCGCATTTCATTGTATTAGCACATGGACTTGAAAGACATTCATTAATGTCTTATAGAAAAAAAAAATTCATATTGCAAAAATTATTATATTTTTCTTCAAAAAATATACATACCATGACAACGTCCACTATCTCCCATTTCAAAACCACTATCACAATTCACTAAAGACAAAAAAAAGATATTCGATGTAATTATTTAACATATATATATTACATGATTTTGCTTTTTTGCAACAATTTGTAAATTGTTCACCACATCTTTCATCAAGTACAGTCACCGGTTCACAATCTTCATGCTCTCTACCTGCTCGAACACCTAATTCGCAACATTTACAACATATCTATAAATAAAAAATCAATTTTATCTAAATATTTATTTAAAATTAAAATTAAATTAATTCAACCTGATAAGTATCTTTTGATTCAAGTTTTGTATCATTACATGGTATTAATCGTAAAGCTGTTTTTAAACCTTCTTCACAAAAATAATGTCGTAAATTTGATAAACAACATATATGTGCTAAAAATCGACAATTTGCTGATAGAGTTGTATTATTTTCTGTTATCAATGACTGTAATGTCGTAGTACATGTTTTTGTACTTTCAGCTTGAATTCGACCTGTTTGACAACATTCTTCTGCATTATTACGAAATGCATCTAATAGAAAAATTGAATTTCTATCAAATTATATTCATTATTATTATTATTATTTACCTGTAAGTATCGAAGAAATTGCTATATATCCTAAAAAACTTATGATTATATTCGAAAATATATACATTATTTTTTGTACGAGTGTAAAATGTATGTTGATACCAATACAAATCAACCGGTAATGTCTTATATAGGATAACTCGTTTTTCCTTTTCTCTTTCTTGTTGATATGATATTACAACAGCATCAGTTCTTTTCGACCTTCGTACTCGTCCTCATCTGTTCTCTTAACGGCTGTTTATGTACTTACTTAATCGATTGTCAACGACACATTCTGGTTATTTCTATATAGAAAGCAGAAATATCTAGATTATGCGATATACACATATATATATTCTAATATATTTGCTTATAGATGTTTCCATTGAATGATTATTTGTATATTATCAAGAAAGCATCAATATAAATGTTATGTAAGCAATAATAATTCTAATTGAACCATTGTATAAACTATCATACGAAAAAAAAAAGAAATTTTATTGCCATTAAATTGATTTTCAATAATATATCTTCTGATAAAATATTATCAAGAAAAGTCTTATTATATATAAGAAACAAAGCACAAAAAAAATAGATTAATTCAACCATGGATGATGTATCGTATTCATACATATAGCATGTTATTCTTTTTTTTCTTTAGAAAGGAAATGTCAACTTAGATCCTAACAATACTCTAGAGTTTTCCTTTTCCTGTGACAATTATCTTTCGATCATATATAATATAACAATAGTTTCTTTTTTCTTTTTATTGACTAATTTTTTTTTTTGCTGAACTTGTTCATTCCTTTTGACATATTTAACTGACAAACAACAGCATAAGCGCGCATACCTTCTCTCGTTATCGAGAAGAAAAAAGAAAGTAAATATAAATGTGCCTTGCAACATCAATGCCAGTCATTAGAATGAGACAGTTCTTTTTTTTTTTTTTTTGTCCTGTTTTTAATTTTAGTATATAAAATAAACCCTTACAAGCATTAAAATAAAAGAAACACATATACACACCAATCAAATGAGTATGTAACCAAGAAAATCCTTACAGGAAGAAAGAAAGAAATAAAAACGCAAATCTTCTCTCTTTATACATACAAACATGTATGGCACTCATTTCTTCTCGCATCATCATTATTTATTTCTTTTTCTATGTTCATCTTCTTCTAAATTGTATAATACTAGAAGTTAAATTGATCAAATATTTGACAGATCAAATTTCAATCAATAACTATTAACATCGGATTATCAGCTATAACAAAATACGAAATTATTTTTCTATTTTACAGATAGAATCTTGGTCATACAATTATAAATGATTCTTCTTTTTATTGCATGTTTTATTCATATTTATTCAATAAATAGTCAGAATACTAGTGTAACAGTACCAACAATAAAAAATCCATATACACCACGTGATCATATAGTTAATCCACATAATTTTTCTTATATACTTAATCCTGGTTATTCAATATGTAATAGTAGTAATCCATCTGTTTTTGTTTTTATTTACGTTCATTCTGGTCCAGGAAATTATCAACGACGTGTTGTTATACGTGAAACATGGGCAACAAGAACATTATTTCCTGATATACGTCTTATATTTATGATTGGTAAAACTCTTGATAAAAATCTTATGAAAGCTATTGAATATGAAAATGAAATCTATCGAGATATTGTACAAGAAGATTTTATTGATTCATATAAAAATTTAACATATAAAGGTATAATGGCATTAAAATGGATATCAACATATTGTTCAAATACAAAATATATTTTAAAAGTCGATGATGATATTGTTGTAAATACATTTACATTATTGAATCATTTAAAATTTCTTGAAAAACATAGTACTAATGGACAACATAATACTATACTTTGTTTAGTATGGACAGCAATGATGGTTATGAGAGACAGGTTTGATAAAGAAAATAAAAATATTTTTTAAAAAATAAAAAAATTTTCTTTTCGTTTTTGTTTAAAGTAAATCAAAATGGTACTTAAGTAAAAGTGATTTTCCATTTGACACATTTCCACCGTATTGTAGTGGTTCCGGTATAAATAATAGAAGAAAAAAATTATTTTATAAAAAATAATAATTTCATTTATTTTTCTAGCTTTTATTCTTACGGGTGATATGCCAACAAAAATGTAAGTTTATTGAATGTAATAGAACTTATTAGAGTATGGAATTTTCTAGGTATAATGCTAGTTTATATGTACCATTCTTTTGGGTTGATGATTATTATATAACTGGAGCAGTAGCTAGTGCAGCAAATGCAACATATGCTCAACTTGGTTCATTATATACGATTCCTGAACAATTAGCACACACACGTTTTATGTCAGCAAAATCTTTCTATACAATAATGTTTGGACATTTTGTAAATAAAATTTTGAGATTTTTTGAAAAAATTTACTTTAATTTTATTTAGCCTACTTCATTAAATAATATGCGTGAAATATGGAAGCGAATATTAACATTACAAAAATATAAATTTCCAAATCGTGTTCAATTAAATTCGTTTAGTTGGGATGAAACAATTCATCAACCTGACAAGGCAACACGATAAATATTTGTTATTTTTTCATAATGAAAAGTAATACTCAGACAAGATCAGATGTAATTAAAAATATCATCGAGCAATTCAACGAGTAATCTACTACGAAAAAACAATATTTTTGTTCACTACTATTATTTTTTAATAAAAGCTTAGTTTTTATCTCAAAGAAATAACATGCATTCATTATTTATAATCACAGGAAATTTTATTGTTCATAATAACATTTACACTGAATCAAACAAATTTATTTAATAATAACTTAATTACAATAATCAAAATATTACATGTGAATTACTGAGCAAAATGAATCATCTGACATACAATCATTCATAATATGCATTCGTATTAGTTGTACGCATGTAAGCTGTTGATTCTCGTACTTCATATGCACGTTTTTTTGCTTCTTCGAATTCTTCTGAAATTAAATATACAAGTTTTCAGACATAGAAATTTAATGAAAAAAAAAAATAGTCGAGATAAAACTACATCGATAATAATAAATTAAAGTATACACATGTTCTCGTTTATTCATATAAGTATGGCTTCAAACAAATGATTGGATTTCTTAACATACAAGTGATAGAGACATAATGTTACGAACCATTAAAATTATTGCAATAGATGAAGGTCAGATTGACAAATGTATGCGATTATCAATATTATACATGATTTATTGCTCACTACGTTTAAAGTAGTCTAGATAAATAGGTTTTACAAATGCTTTTCATACTATCGGATAAACTTAAATTAGAGTAAAAACGCATGTACTTACGAAGAACAGTATTGATATTTGATATAAATGTATCGAGTCTATAAAAAATTGAAATGAACATTTTGAACTATTTGTTTATTTAAAATTCATACCCATAACGATTAACGACATTAGTAGTCCGGTTTTTTCGATTTATGATTGCAAAATTTCTATTTTAAATAAGAACAATCAAATTAGTTTCATATTTTCTTTACATACTGTGATTGAAAAACAATATTGAATCGAACATTTAATGTTCCTGTTGAAACAGTACGAAAACCAAAACGATTCATTAATCTATTATCCTACAAAAACAATATTTAGAATATTTATTTAATCAATATGTCATTTTACTTTCTCATTGTCAAATGACTTTGGAACAGCAATATAAGATAGATCTTCAAGTTCAAGTGAACCTCCAATAAAAAACCGACGAACTTCATTGAATATCGAATCACCACGAGGTCTCCAACATGATAAATGTTCATTATAAAATCCTATTGAAGAAAATATACTTTTCAATAAAGAAATAATAATTAATTATAAACCTGGAAGATTTGGTATTTCGAAATATGTATAACCTTCTATTCGATGTCGACCCCATGAATCGTGTGAAGAAATTTGAAAATAGATTTTTGGCATTCGAGGAAGTTCTATTCAATAAAATCGAAGAAGAAAATATTTTAAACAAGAAGTATTTACCATGATCAGCTGTATTAGGTGGTGGTTTATACCATAATTCAAATTCAAATGGATGCGAATAATAAACAATATCATCCTGAAAGAATTAATTTAGTTTATTGTTATTGTAATTTATTATCTAAAAGTTGATTATTTACATATTTACTCGACATTGTTGTACTTGCTGTATGCGTATAACCTGATAAAATTGCAGATGATTCCACATACCAATCTATGAAGTTTACAAAACTTTAATATATTTTTTTGGATATTCTGAAAACTCACTATCAGTTAAATCTACTGAATAGTAAACATAAATGTTATCGTATTCAAAATTCTTTCCACTAACAATTTCACCAAAGACATTTAACTTAAGAACAGATGGTGGTGGCTATAATAAAACATAAGAAAATAAATCATTGAAATGTATTGTGTTTTTAGAAAATCTACAATATCAAATTCATTTCCAACAATTTGTGCTATTTTTGTTTGTTGTTTCAAACAAATTTCATTAAATAATCTTCGTTCTTTAACAAGATCAGGTAAATCAATAGGTATGGAAACATGTTCTAAATAATATTGATAGACTTCATTATTTAAATTTCCTGTTTCAACAATATAAGCCATTTTATCAGTATTAAAATCTGGTTCTAATATAATTGTATTATTTGAATAATATATCCGACATAAAACATGTTCATTTGGTGGCTGTGGAAAAATAGCAAGCTGAGTTGTTGCCATATTCGTTGTATCACTTAAATCAGCCATTATATACATAGTCTGACGTGGTAGAGAACCATAATGATTGATAAGAAGATCCTCATATGTTGGTTTTTGTTTAATGAGATCTGTTTTTGGTAGATCTTGTTTATTACTAAAGAAATTGTTTATGAATTTATCAGTTATAAATAATAGAAATAACAAACCTTGCATTTGAACGTAACTGTACTGTACGTGGTTGATCTAGGAAGTAGAACATATTAATGCCAGAAATAGCAAAAGCGTCTTATATCTCTAACAAAAAAAAACTTACGAATAGTATTAATTCCTAATGCTAAATGACTTGGTTGTTCATTCGGTGAATCAGTCATGAAATATTCAAGCTAAATTAAAATAAATATTCTTATTTTAATTAGATTAAATCAAAGTTATATACGCTTCTTTCGAGACAGTATGGATCATTTTCGACATATGTAAATATTCTTCCAGGTTGTTTTTCTTTCGCTCTGAAATCAAACATGGTTTTATGTAAGAATTTTTCCAGTCATTTTTACTTCATTTTTTGTATCTCATCAAGATATTTCTGTTCAAGTGCTGTTTTATATGGTCCCATATCTTTACCATACTTTTCAAATTCATACTAAATGAAATTTAGAATTAAACCAAAATGACATTCAAAGAAAAAATATATAAATACACGATTGAAAAGTTTTTGTTGCCAATTAATGACAACTTCTTCATAATTTGATTTATGTGTTTGATCTAATATTGGTACCACTTCAGTTCTCTTGGGTATCGGTTTTTCAATTGGTTTTCCATCCGTATTAAGTAAACGAGATAGTTCTTTTTCATATTTTAATCTTTCTAAACTTGGTAGTAATGCATTAGATGTTAAGCGTTCTAGTTTAACTCTAGGAAAATAGAGAATCTTAATAAAAATCTCTTAGTTTTTATAGTCATTAGTATACCGAATTTTAAAATTATTAATCGAATCATTTGATCGATAAACAGCACAATTTACATTATTAGTATCGAAATTTGACATAATTTTTATCGAAAAAAAACGAAAATTTAGATAAGAATATGTATCTATTGGTCTTAGCGATATCATATGAATGGCCAAATCAAGTGTAGATGTCGTGGGACTTGTAATATACGCTTCAATTATTATTAGATAAAATATTTTGCAAAACAATTGGATTAACTTTTTCATTGACACTATACAATAGGTAATACTCATTCAATCATGTTTTATGAGAATAGTACAATAATAAAAGAAATATTTTATAATTAAATGAATCAAAAATATTACAACCTTTCAGAAGATTTATTGAAGAACAAACAAAATGTGATTATTCTTGTCATTTTTCTCGAAAAAAATTATTTCGAATTGGCAGCCATTAAAGAAAAATAAAATAAATCTTACTCATTTAATAGTTTGTTTTGATTTGTATCGTAATTCTTTTATCTATTTTTAGATATGAAATGAGTGAATTAGCATCTCGATTAAAACTAATTCTTCAACGTATCAATGAAATATCATCTTCTACGAATTCACTTGTTCGTTTAATAGCAATATCGAAAACAAAACCTGTTGAAGATATTATTGAACTATATCATGCTGGTCAACGTTATTTTGGTGAAAATTATGTTGAAGAATTAGAAACGAAATCTAATCATAAATTAATTCGTAGTGAATGTCCAGATATTCGTTGGCATTATGTTGGTCATTTACAACGTAAAAAAGTTCCTCGAATTATAACACGTGTACCAAATCTTGATTGTATTCAAACTGTTGATTCAATTGATTTAGCTAATCGTTTAAATTTAATTCTTAAAAAACAATCACAAAAATTAAATATTCTTATACAAATTAATACAAGTAATGAAAAACAAAAATATGGAATTGAACCAAAACAATTTCTATCTTTATATGAATATATACGAAATAATTGTCCATTATTAATTTGTCAAGGTCTAATGACAATTGGTTCATTAAATAATGTACAATCAGAGAATGATCAAGATTTTCAAGTTTTAACTGTATGTCGAAAAGATTTATGTGAAAAGTATAACTATAAACTGAATGAAATCGAACTTTCAATGGGTATGTCACATGATTATGAACGTGCTATTCAAGCAGGTAGTACGATGGTTCGTGTGGGTAGTTCAATATTTGGAGCTCGTTGATGAATTATTTTTTTCTTCATTTAAAAATTAAAATAGAAAATATACTGTCACGTTTTTTTTCAGATTAATTTATGGAATATACTGATGCAGATCCATCATTTCGTGCTCGATTATTGGAGCCGAAATTTGAGCCGGAATCATTTATTGGATCGATTGGTATAATGAATAATCTTTTAAAATAGAAAAAAAATGTTTGTTCTTCACTTTTTTGTATTAAGCATCACAATCTATTGGTAGTACTGACTTAGTAAATATGAAACGACGTATGTATTTGATAGCTAGTGAAGCTAAAATGGATTTAAAACAAAATATTTATCGTAATCATACAAAATTCATTGAAACAGCTAAACAAGTTTCATCACTTGAATCAGAAGTTTATCAATTACATACTCTATTAGCAGATGAACAACAATTATTAAATACCGTTAAAGAATTATTAACTATTGAAGATAAGGTCAGATTATTCAACTTAGATGAAAATAAATGGTGATCGGGTGAATTACTAATACACATTTTATATTATTCTTATTATAAATTTATGATAAAATATGATCATATAACTAATGAAGGTATTGATGGTATCGATAATACTTCAACTTCAAAGAAACTGGTTTCGCTTAATTCGGATCACTTCTTATGACCAAAATAGAAATGAAGTAGATTACTTAAGAATATTTTTAGATTAAAATTGATTCTCATTTGTATAGAATACTGTGTTATCTATTTTAAGTTGATATTAATAAAAAATTCGTCGAAACGATTTGCTAATAATATAAATTTCGTCTTCTTTAACTTCCGAGAACTACAGATGAAACATTCAAATTTAATTCAGGCAATTGCTGACTACTAGTGTATAGATCTGAGCTTACTTGTTTCGAGACATTAACTAAATTAGAAATAGTCAAATGAAAATTATTGGAATTCTCATTATATTTGCTTCAAGATTATTAAAGTACACCGTAGATATGTTTACAGTCTATGAACTGACATGATGAACAGAGATTTTAGAAAATTGAAAAAGATTATAAAGCTGAGATATTTTTCGATACAGTTAAGGAATGGTGCACGATTACTCTCATACATGGAAAGAACCAACTAACGTAGCTAATACAGTGATGATTGTGAAATTCTTCAAGCGTTCGAAATTTACCTAGACTAATAAATTATTGCTAAAGTACACAAAAATCTTACAATAAGTTGAAATGGATTAATCCAAATAAAAATATATTAGCATAGGTGTCTAGAACTTGTTTCTCTTGGTTTTTTATATGTCATGTTCAAACAATTTTTCTGATCAATATTTTTTCTTTTAAAGACTAAAAGAACTTCATAACGGTGTATATACGCAACATCTTGCAAGCTTGTTATATATTGTCAGTCTAAATATACTCCGCCACTAATCCAAAAGATGTCAAATATTTTGTAAACTATAATTAGTGTATTTTTATTAATACTAATATAGAAGATAGGATATCTATATTAAACTAAATAACATCATATAGAGGTTTTTGTGTGTAGACATAACTTAGTTATTCTCAAGAAAATAACATAATACTATTACACTACATATTCGAAAAATGCTTCTATTCGTTATTTATCAATCCAAATAATGTTAAAAACTCACCATCACAATCATCGCCAGTTGTATATAGGCATGTACCGAGCCCGAGCCTCTCGGGCTCGGGTAGGCTCGGGGCTCGGTCAGGCTCGGGGCTCGGTAAGCTCGGGGCTCGGTTAGGCTCGGGGCTCGGTCAGGCTCGGGGCTCGGTCAAGGCTCGGGCTCGGTAGGCTCGGGGCTCGGTCAGGGCTCGGGCTCGGTAGGCTCGGTCACAACTCGAGGCTCGGTCAAGGCTCGGTGTCAGGTGGATGTAGGAGTGAATTTCTTACATCTGAGCCCGAGCCTACCGAGCCCCGAGCCTGACCGAGCCCGAGCCTGACCGAGCCTACCGAGCCCTGACCGAGCCCCGAGCCCACCGAGCCCGAGCCTGGACCGAGCCCCGAGCCTACCGAGCCCGAGCCTGACCGAGCCTACCGAGCCCCGAGCCCGAGAGGCTCGGTCAAGGCTCGGGCTCGGTACATCCCTAGTTGTATATTAACAAGTCTGTATCGTGAAAGTAAATACTAGATGAAAGAATATCTTTTTTACTTTATTTTATACTTCATTAAAACTTATTTATAATCAAAAGATAGAATCTAAATAAATTGAACATCTTAGATGCTTCTCTTATTAGTAGTATAGAGTATAGATAAGCTTTGTAACTATTACTAACGATTTACTAAGGCAATTTAGATTGATAGTTTTTAGTGATTTAATAATCTAATCTTGACTTAAACTATTTTAGCCTGACGCATCTATACCCATAGATGCTGATTCATGGCAATCACTTTTACATCATTGTGAAAGTTTAGGTCTTGTTTCAACTAATCTAACCCGTCGTTTGATTTATAGCGGTAAATTACTTGAAGTTAAATTTGAAAATGTTTCAAGTAATCAACATTATAAAACGGATGAAATAAATAAATCATCAACATCACATTTAACTTCTCCATGTTATGGTCTTTTATTTAATGATTATTTTATCATAACTAAATCAACAAATATTCGTTCAGCAACAGCTTATGATGTTGATCAAGTTATAAAACTTCATAAAAATCTAAGAAATATAAATGATAATCAAGATGGTGAAGAAAATAAACAATATTCTCCAGCAGTATCAATACAAATAATTAATGTTAAAGATGATATTATTCGTAATTCATTTTCAATTAAATATAATCTTGATACAATAACTCTCATGTGTAAAAATGCACAAATAAAAAAACAATGGGTTGAATTACTTGAAAGTACACTTCAGACAGATACCAGACGCTCTTCAGTAGAATTTTTACTTCAAACTCAACAAGAACAAGTTTTAGGAGACGAATTCTTTTCTGAAGAATGGATAAAAAATACTCAAGAAAATTTAACAATACTTTTAGCTGAAAGAAATTATGATCAAGCATTAGTTTTAATACTTCAAGCAAGAAAATATAGTCAAGAATTTCTTAATAAACACGAACAACAATTATTTCCATTAATTAATACATATATGAAAAGTGTACAAGAACAAGAACAAGAATTACGTAAATTAATTGAAAAAGAAATTCTTAATATATGTGAACGTGGTTGCTCAACGAATTTATTAAAACATTATTATCATCGTATACGAATAATTAAACGATTAGGATATGTACCTAAAGCTTGGTAATGTAATTCATAGGAGCAGTAACTTTCAGAAACAGCTAATACTAAGAAATATTTGAATATGTCAAGTAATCCGGAAAATAAAAATCTGGTGAAGAAATAAATTATCTCGAAAGATTTTATCGTGTGGGTGAGGATATTGATGTGGAAGAAGAATAGTCCATACTTATACATCCACACCTACACTCACCCTCACCCACCCACACCCATCTACATTCATACCCACACCCACCTACATTCACCCTCACCCACCCACACCCATCTACATTCATACCCACACCCTAAATACCTACAGTTACAACAACGACATTGATCATGACGAGCTTCTTGAAGAATTCTCACTTCTGGTTGCTTCAAAGAAATAAGCTCATTAGGTTGTCTCTAATGTTTCTAGACCTTTTGTTATATCTTCTATCATTAACAAAACTTCGACTAAAATTTTCTCGGATGTTCTCTTTTTCAAAGCTTCCTTTTCCAGATTTTTATTTTCCGGATTACTGGTCATCACCAATTATTTGTTCGAAAAATATATTTACCTATTATTAGAATTAAACTAGAATTTCATTTGACGAGGAGAGGATCCGAATTGTTCACTCGACTTACAGCTCATACTCTGACTACAAATATGACTAGCAAAAGCTTAAAACGATTCGTGCCCATGACCTCTTGATGAAGAGCTATCGCTATTTCACTGACTTTTGTGCTTGTAGAATTGCCTGGAAGTTTCACTCTGAAATAATGTTTCTTTTTTTTTATTTTAGTGATTTGTTTTTTACAATCCAACTTTCTCTAATGAAAACAACACTTAAAGAAACAAAAATTGAACAATTAAATGTTGCTTTTGTTGAAAAATTTGTTAATACATTTTTTACACGTCTTGTCGATAGCTATTATGAATTTGTACAATTATTTAAAGATCAAAAATCAACATTTACAAAATTTATTGTTTGGATGTCAAAAGAAATTGAAAAATTAATTGTACTTTTACGTAATCAACAATACATTAGTATAAAAAATTTTACATTTTCAATGAAAAATATTGATATTTTATTTACAAAAGCTGATGAATTTTCAACAAAATTAATTGATATTAAATTTATTTTTGAAGAACAACTTGAACAAATCTTAACGCAAATTATTCGTACACAAAAAGAATTTATTATTGATACATTAAGACAACGACATCGAGATGAAAAATGGATACCAGTAACATTTCAAACACCTGATCGATTAAATCAATTATATTATGAATTTAATGAATTAGGTATTGATGGTAATACATTTCTTGAACCATTCATAAAAGATGATCAAGAAGATATTTTACAAATTGATCTAGCACCAAGTACATTACAATTTACTAAAGCATATTTAACATTTTCACGAGATATATTTAAAATACATTATTCATCAATAAATCCTGTTATCGTTGAAGCACTTGTAGAATTAATTAAATTACATTTAAAATATTATGAACGTACTTTACAAAATTCTAATGATAAAAATTTAAACATTTTCATTATGAAAAATGTTGATTTTTCTTTAAATTATCTTTTTCATCATGTCGAACAACTTCATAAACCAAAAGTTGGACATGCAACGAAATTTTTTACAAAAGTTTACGATAAAATGGATAAACTGCAAGCAATAGCAAACAGTTAAATATATGAACATTACTTTTTTTCGAGGACATGAAATATTTATTTTTCTTTTAAAAAAATAAAAGATTTACAATATTAAATTCTATGTTCTTAATGCCCTTTTAGTCAGGTGTGATTTTTTTCTTCAAATAAGAGTATGTCACATACGATGAATCAGACACTGTTTATATTTAAGTTGTCATAGAAAAAGTACATATAAGGAATCAAGAAAAAAATTGTCCGTATGTTATTTATGTCATTTTTTGATACAAGTAATTATCATTTAATGATTTCTATTTTCGTCAAAATCAAAAATAGACTGAAGAAATTAACAACTATTCTCTATAAGATTCATTTTTTTGGCTTGATTATATTAGGAATTGTAGTTGATACTAGTCTAATATATTTTATGTTCTTTCACGTGACAAACTCGTTAATATGGAGTGAAAGTATTTCATTCAATCTTGAAACATTCTGGCAATCAGAAATCTTTATTATTTTTATCTTCTTTCCATGTGTGAATCTACGTATTAGTATTGGTTGGATAATTATGAATAGAATAAATCCTTGGGATCAAGCATCGATCTTTATACATATATGCTATGTTATACATTTTCTATTACCCGTTTTAATTAGCCTGTTTATATTTATTATTTGTATGACATTGGTCTTCTGGTTTATTACAATATATCTCCTATTTTTTTGGAGCTTAAACGAATGGTTCCTATGGCAATTAACTAATACAAACACAACATGTGATTATATGGAAGAATGGTACACGCAAGAAGACCAGTAAACCTAATGATACAGTCAATTTTATTGATATCAGAATATTGCAATCACATATGACGAAAGTTATCAATAGTAAATAATTTACAAGTATGTAATATATGAAGTACTTGTTATTCATGATTTTGTAATTAAAACTAGTAATAAAGAAACCTATTGTCCATTTCAAAAAAAGGCGGGTGGATATTTTTTGATAGGAACAAGATAGAGAGCTGCAGTTTTCACTGTTAGAAAGAGCAGATGAAGATGTATCAAAACCTATCTGGGAAAATTTCTCTAACTAGTTACCAAAGTGTTTTTTTACCAGTGAAAGATTGAATTAGTGGTAGTCATCAGTAAAATCTTCACACAGTGTTGTAGTTCTTAATCTGGCGATTCTAGAACACTCCCGAAAATAAACAAACTAATGTGGCGTTAATGCGAGACATACTGTTTGTCCAAGAGTTTCCTATAAAAACCTTTGGGAAGTAGGTAGAGAAATCTTCCCGGATAGGTCTGGATGCATCTTCATCTGCTCCTTCTAACAGTGAAAACCGCAGCTCTCTATCTTGTTCCTATCAAAAAATACCCATCTGCCTTTTTTTTTGAAATGGGCAGTAGTTCTTGCATTTATTCTTTACCGAATGGATAAAACATTACAACTAAAATGTGTATCTATCTTCCTTTAGATCATTAATTGATTGTTCAAATGTCGATTAAAAACAAAGTTAATTTTTTATCAATACATTTATATATATATAAATATTCATCTATCGATTAAACATAACCTATAAAAAATAAAGATACATGAAAAAGAAAAAAAAATGCTCAATTTAATATTGCAATAAAAATAAAATAAATTTCGTATATATATATATTAAATTTTAAGATGTTGATTCAGTATCTGCTGTTGGATGTAAACGTTCTGGTCGAACTTCAAAATGAAGATCGACATTATCGGTTATTTCGTGATTATTCAGGAAATCACTATGTATTATATTATTTGGCATGAGAGATTCTTTTAATAATTTATCATTACAATAATCACATATACGGTACTGTGGAGAACTAAAAGAAGAAAAAAAGTTTTTACATGAAAAAAATTCATTGTAAAACATACTTAGTTTTTGAACTTTGCATCCAATTATTTGAACAGTAATAGCAAAAGATTTTTTGACAATGTCGACAATGATGCTACGAAGAAGAATAAATTTGTTTTTGATATAAATTAAAGAAAAATATGAATGACATACTTTTCTCACAGTCCATCCAAATACTGTATTACATTTTGTACAATTAGAACTATCTTCATCAGCAACCCATTTTCTTGATTGTTCTTCTTCGAGTTTAATTTCATACGAATGTATAGAATTAAATAATTCAGCTTTTTCACTATAAATAATTAAATAAAAGTTTTTTCTATTGAACTGTATGCAATTTCTCATACCGAACAGCTTTTACTAATCGACGTTTCATTTCTTCAAAATCAAGTGTTCGTTCTTGTAATGAAGCTTCTAATTGTTCTTGAGTTTTCATATATTCGTGCTTCAAAAAAAAATATTAATCTCTAAGTAATATAATCATTTAAACTTACTCGTTGTTTTTCCATTAATATTTGTTCATCTTCAAGTAATTTTCTCGACTAAATATAAAAAATGAATTGTTTTTTAAACATTTTTATTGAATTTTCTTACTTTTTCAAGTTCATCTTCTAATACTTTAATTTGTTGATTTTGTTCATTGGTTTGAGATGAATATTCGTCTTTTATTGATTGTACACCATTTGTTTGTTCATCATATTTTTGTTGTAATTCATTAAATCGAGTATCTTTGTCTTTAATTATTGTTTGATATTGAGTTAAATCACGTTCATAATCTTTAATTTTCTAAAATATGAAAGATACTATATGATTGATTTGTATTTTATGTTTGACTTACATCTGTTGTTGTCGAACGTTGCATCGAAATAGATGAAAGTTGAAAATTAAGATTCGTTATTTCTTCTTTTAATATCGTAAGTTGATTTTTTAATTGTTCATTCTCATGATTTAATTTATTTAAGAATTCTTTATCACTAGATTCTTCCGAATTTTTTCTTTGCTTATTTTCAATAATTGAACATTGAATATCAATATCTTTCGATGATACTAAATTCGATGTTTGTATTTCTTGTAGTTGTATCTCTAATTGATGACATTTTTGTTTCCAATATATCACTGTATTTTCAGGATCTTCATCAACAGATGAAAGAGATTGTGCTGAACTACCATCATTTATTGATGATTCACAATTCTAAAAATTCATCAAATAAAACAAAATTTCTTTTATTTATATTAATTACTCGAAATAGTGATGGTGTAATGGAAATTGAATTCGAAATATCAGGAACAACTGAAATAATTGATTGAGAATCAATACTATTCTAAAACAAGAAGAAGAAGTAGAAAGGGACTATAGAGCTTTTTCCTCCATACCATTGATAGGAAACTTGATACACTACTATTTCTCATTCGTGATGCAGCATCTGATAAAGCTTTTGGACGACTTTCAACTGATCTATAAGTAAAGTAATAAATATTTTTTCTTTCTCATATTCAAATAACAAACTCTATAGTTGGCCAGCAAACATCGAGTTGATATTGTGAATTTGTAAGAAGATCGAATTGAAGATCATTTAATTGATATAATGCTTGTATAATACGATTCATATATGTTGGTGTTGTCCAGAAACATTCATCAATATAACATTGACTAGAAAAACGAAAAGTTTTGATTTTTTGATTTTGAAATCAATAAACTTACTTGACAACTTTTGACGTCATGAAACTTTGTTGTATAACATCACCTAAACGATGATTTTGTAGACAAAAACGAAGAAATAAACGTCCACGACCAGTAGATGTTTTTACTTCTTGACTATTAAGAACATACAATACTGTATCATATAAACCTTTACTTTCTTTAAGTGCAAGTGCAAAGAAATTCCAATAGTTTCGTTTATTATTATTATTATTTAATAATGATTTTCGATCTTAAAATTTCAAAAGAATATTTTTATTTAATAATAAATAAAAACAAAGTTTACTTTTTAAGTCAAGTTCTAATAATTGTTCGAGATGTTGAAAGAATGTTTGTAAATGAATATTTGAATCATCAATAAGTATAGGTTGAAGATTATCATTTATTGATGTTGTATATTGAGAATAGAGTGCATTTGTTTTTTCTAGAATTATAAAAAATAGATTGAAATTGTTTTTTTCATTGAATTTACCTTCGATAGTTTCAATAGATCTTAATACAGATTGAAGTTTACGCATATCTTGAGTAGACATATTTAAATCGATGATATGATATGTAAAGACTTTGAAATTGAAATCTAATCTAAGCTCACTCTTATTTCACCTTGTATTACGATATAGAATATTGAATTAAAGTATATCTATTGGTAGATGATTTGTCATTTGCAACAGCATCTCGAGATTTTGATTGGTAATAATATTAAATGAGAATATAGATGAGGTCGCTACTATAATAAATAACGAAAAACAATAACACACATATTTCTTGTATGTATATACTTTAAGAACGAATTTTAGTATGGAATATTTTCAAATGCTTATAGAAAACGTGCATGTGATCATTATACGATAAAGAGAATTGAAAATAACAATCGCTATATATGGTAGCGACATATTATTTATTGCGAATTTTTGATCAAATAATGAGTTACTAGTTCAAGAACGCGCGATTATACACTAAATGAAACTGAATATATTTAAATGATGTATCAATAAACTTTTTGAATCTTAAAAGTATTGTTCAGATGGTTAGATGAAATCACATACGGTTCTTTCCGAAAGATGCTGAACAATGGTTGGACTTTCGTGAAGAAGCAATACGAAATTTGGATTTGATGAATAACTTTCTCCATTTTCAAAAGAGAACTGGTCAAGCCGAGTTCATTCAAGTAAATTGATATGTTCATCGTATTTTTGCTAACATAAGTGAACGACATCTATTATTAAACCTTTTCGCATATCATATAAATATAACAAAACTACTATTTACTGGTACAATTTACTGACGAATCTTGTAACTATTTCATAAGAAAAAGTTTCTTAGTACATTTATTGTTTTGTTTTCCTTCTTCGTTTTTGTACAAAGTACATGGCGTCTAATGATGATAATGATTCTTCATTCGATGATCTCAACCAAAATGATACTGAACGTGATTTGTATGCTGTATTGCACATTAGTAAAGATGTATGAAATTTTTCTAAAAAAAAAGAACGAAAATATTTTATATTTTTTAGGCAGATGCAACAACAATTCAACAAGCTTATCGTCGATTGACACTTCTTTATCATCCTGATAAACATACTGATTTACGAAATAAACAATTAGCTATGGAATTATTTATTCAAGTCAAAAAAGCATATGATATTATAAATGATCCACAAAAACGTGCAATTTACGATGTTCTTGGTATGAAAGGTTTGAAAACAGATGGATGGGAAGTCATCAGTCGAACAAAAACTGCTCGTGAAATTCTTGATGAATATGAACGACTTGCAAAAGAACGTGAAGAAACTCGTTTTAATCAAATCACAAATTTAAATGTTTGTTTTCGTTTTATCTCAACTATATATTTCTCTAATATTTAATTAATCTGTAGGGTTCAGTACATACAACAGTGAATCTAACTGATATATTTAATCAATTAAATTCATCCAATGAAGACAGGTAAATTTTATCGTAATAAGAAATTAATTAAATTATTCATTTTTATCAGTGATTTTTCTACAAATATTCAAATAACAGAATTTACAGTTGAACAAAGTATTGATATTCCATTAACATATCAGAATACAACAACTGTAAGTGCCGTTGCAACAACACGTAATGGACGAGGTACAGGATCATTAACAACTTCATTTCGACGTACTCTACCGGATTTATCTTGGTTTCGTGTAATGAGATTTATTAATTATTTCATTTTCGTTTTGTATTAATGAAAATTCTTATTTTTTAGATTGATTCAACATTTAGTCAACATCCTCACATAGGACTTCGTTATTTTCGTCGTATAACACAAAAACTGTAGGTAAAAAATATCGAAAATTTTAACAAATTTAACAACAATTTTTCGTTAGTTTAGCCATGCAAGTGTTGCTACTACATTTAGTTTTATTAAAGGTCGTCGAGCTATAGCAACACCTGGCTTTGTATTTTCAACAAGTTATCAATTAAGTCATCATTTAACTAGTAGTTTACAATGGAAAACAGGACGAGGTTCATATATGAAAGGATTTTTACATTATGATAATCAGAAATGGTCAATTTCAAGTGCTCTTCAAGTAATTTTCTTTTTATTTAAATAAATTGAATAGAATATAAAAAATTTCTTTCTTCTTTAAGCTTGGAATTAACAATACATATGGAGCAATTGATGGTGTTTATCGATTTCCTGATGTATGCAATCTACGATGTAGTCTTAAGTAAGATAATAAATTTTAGATATTTCAGTTAAAAATATTTTTATTCAAAGATTATTCATATTTGGACCATGGATTGAATATGGCATTGATCGACAATTAACTAAATATACACATGGTTCAGCAACAGTTGCAATCAGTGCAAGAATGGGTGTAGTACTGAGATTGAAGTATATTATTTTTCGATAAATTAAATCATTGTTAAATATATTATTAACTGTAGATTTAATCGTGGTAGTCAAGCATTTACTATACCATTCCAACTATCGCAAGAAATTCTACCAAGTTCAATATTTTATGCGACAGTTGTACCTGTTCTTGCATATCTTGTACTTGATCGATTGATTATTCAACCATTTACTCGATTAGAACAAAATAGAACACAAAAAAAATATCAAGATGAAGCACGTGAAAAACAAAGTGAACGTCGTCGTGAAGCAATGAATGCTCAAGAAGTTCTTCGATCACTTGTTGAACAAATAAAAGATCGAGAAGGTTCACAAGGTTTACTTATTCTTCAAGCATATTATGGTCATTTAACATCAACAATAAATGAATCATCCACTAAAATCATCGATGTTACTATACCATTACAAACATTAGTTAAGAATTCAACATTAAAAATAGAAACAACAGTATCAAAATCTAATCTAACTGGTTTTTATGATCCATGTATAGACGAAGAAAAATCTTTATTTATAAAATATTCATTTCATTCACAAATACATACAGTTACATATAAAGATACAGATCCTATTATATTACCTATATTATGAATATTTTTATTCGTCTGTTGTTAATAGTTTTTTTTATAGTCAATAGTGTTTTTCGTTTTTCAAATTGAATTTATATCTTTTTCAGATGTTTATTCGTACTCTTTCATCTATTAATCGATTTTCTCTTCTATCAATACTTCGAACTCATTCAACAACATCTAATACAACACATTTTGGTTTTGATGAAGTACCAGAAAATGAAAAACAAACACGTGTTAATGAAGTCTTTTCATCTGTTGCTGATAGCTATGATCTTATGAATGATATTATGAGTTTTGGTATTCATCGTATATGGAAAGATCATTTTATTCGTATTGTTCGTCCTGATCCACAATGGAATTATATCGATGTCGCTGGCGGTACAGGTGATATTGCTTTTCGTTATCTTAAAGAACTTGATCGTTATTATCCATCAGCAGCATCCTCAATACCACTTTCCGAATCTCCAATTACTCCAACACATACCTATATAGCAGATTCTCTTGAACAAACACGTATACGACCAACATCCAAATGTGTTGTAGCTGATATTAATCCAAATATGCTTGCTGTTGGTAAACAACGTTCAATTGATAATAATCTTCATAATCGTATACAATGGATTGAAACGAATGCTGAAGAATTACCATTTGAGGATGAACAATTTGATGTATATACAATTGCATTTGGAATAAGAAATTGTACACATATTGATCGTGTTGTATCCGAAGCATATAGAGTATTGAAAAAAGGTGGACGATTTCTTTGTTTAGAATTTAGTCAAGTTAATAATACATTATTACGTTATTTTTATGATCAATATTCAAAAACATTTATACCACCCATGGGACAAATTATAGCAAATGATTGGAAATCATATCAATATTTAATTGAATCTATACGTGTTTTTCCTAAACAAAAAGAATTTGCTGAACTTATACGTTCTTGTAATTTTCGTTATGTTAATTATGAAAATTTATCATTTGGAGTTTCAGCTATTCATTCAGGTTATAAACTTTAGAAAGTTTATATTTATTTATTTGTAGATTATTAACTTTTTTTTTTCGAAAAATACGAACGAATAATTATGGCCGGTGCAAATGCTCGACGATTTTTTGTTGGTGGAAATTGGAAAATGAATTATTCACAAGCTGTTTTAGAAAAAGTTAATGACGCGTTAGGAAAAACAAAAGATGCTGAAGGTAATATAATTTCTAAGAAGCGTAAAATAAAAATAATAAGTTTATTTTTTTCTAGCTGATATTGTATGTGCACCACCAGCTCTTTTTATCAAAGATTTTGTTTCATCAAAACCATCGCATGTTCAAGTAGCAGCACAAAATTGTTATCATGCTAAAGAAGGTGCATTTACTGGTGAAATAAGGTAAGAAAATTATTTGTAAATCTATTCAATTATTTTTGTTGTTATTGTTAGCCCGGAAATGTTAAAAGAAGCTGGTTGTACCTGGGTTATTCTTGGTCATTCAGAACGACGAACATTATTCAATGAAGATGATGAAGTAAAGAATATATTATGAAAATTTAGAATTCTAATGAAAGTCTTTTTTTTAGTTTTTAAAAAAGAAAATTGATTATGTACTTAATAAAACCGATATTAATGTTATTGCTTGTATTGGTGAAACATTACAAGAACGTGAATCTGGAAAAACAAATGAAGTTGTTGAACGACAAGTTAAAGCTTATCAAGGTATGATAGGATTAGAGAAACTAAAAGTTAAATTGTATTTACATTTATCTAGAGAAAATTGCCAATAATCAATATGATCGCGTTGTAATTGCTTATGAACCTGTATGGGCTATTGGTACTGGTAAAGTTGCAACACCTCAACAAGCTCAAGAAGTTCATGATCATTTACGAAAATTTATTGAAAAAAATACTAATGGTGATATTGCTAAAAAAGTCCGTATTATTTATGGAGGTAAAACTATTGATACAATTATTTAAAATTGATTGTAATTTTTTTTGTTAATCAATAGGTTCAGTTACTGGAGCAAGCTGTAAAGAATTAGCTCAACAAGCCGATATTGATGGTTTTCTTGTTGGAGGTGAGTCAATTTTAACTTCAATTATCAATAATTTTCTTTTTCTTTCTTTCTTTCTCCAGGTGCATCGCTCAAACCAGAATTCGAACAGATCTGCAAAGCACGTCAAAATTAAAAGAACAAATTACTCTTATCCTTAAATTAGTTGACCAACAAACTTATCACTATTTTTATGATTTCTCAAACCTTATTTTTTTTATTAGCTAGTCTTTCTTTAGTTTAAAATACCTCTATGCATCTAATAAAGCACGATTATTTTTTTTTCTTCAAGATTTATTTCATTATGGAAACACCAGAAGAATTTAAAACACAACGTCCAGATCGGAAACGAAAACGTGATACAGTTGAAGCAGAAAATGCCGTTATGGATACTGCTGAACAGAATGTATCAGTTCAATTTCCACAAATAAATCCAGCTCAATTAGAAGTATAGATAAATTTTATTCAAATTGAAAAAAAAAGACTTTAATTTTCTAAGGATCAAACAGATGGCTTTCGTAAAATTACAATACCTGCACATCGTTATACACCATTGAAAGAAAATTGGATGAAAATCTATTCACCTGTTGTTGAATATCTTCATTTACAGATACGTTTTAATTTAAAAACACGCTGTGTTGAAATTAGAACATCTGAACAAACTGAAGATAGTCAAGCATTACAAAAAGGGGGTAAGGGAAAATATAACTTTTAAAATGAAATTATTTATTTATTTATTTGTTCTTTATTTAGCCGATTTTGTTAAAGCATTTGCACTTGGTTTCGAAGTTGAAGATGCACTTGCATTAATTCGTCTTGATGATCTCTTTCTCGAATCATTTGAAATCAATGATGGTAATGAAATAAAAATAAAGAAAAAGAAATTGATTGAACTTTTTTTTTCTTCTTCTTCTAGTTAAACCATTGAAAGGTGATAATTTATCAAGAGCTATCGGTCGTATTGCTGGTAAAAACGGACGAACGAAATTTGCTATTGAAAATGCAACACGATGTCGAATTGTACTTGCAGAAGAGTAAATTTATTCAATCGAATAATGAATAGAGTAAATTACTATTTTCTTAATTCTAGTAAAATTCATATTCTTGGTTCATATCAAAATATCGCAAACGCAAGAACATCAATTTGTAATTTGATTTTGGGTTCACCACCATCCAAAGTCTATGGCAAATTACGAAATGTAGCAGCGAGAACAGCCGAAAGTTTTTAAAAAGAATTCATTTCTGTTGTTGTTATTTATTGTTGCTACTGTTTTTGCATATATAAGAAAAATGATTATTAGAAACGTACTTAATGTTAAATATGAAGTCTGATGAGCTATCTCTATTCTAACGAAAGGGTAGATGTACAGCAATATTTCTAAGCCAATTAATTAAAACAGCTATATCTACTTGAAGGTAGGTGGATGGGTGCGGCTCTTCTTTCATCTCTACACATTTAAGATATTGTGAGAACAGAATACTGATCACTGAATCAAAGATTATCGAAGATGAAACCCATCTGGTAACTATATAACATTTATATTCGTTGGAATATAAATCAATTTATTGATACATTCTCATTTTTAAGTCATACATCAACATCAAAATCATTTCATCTGGAATTGAAAAAAAGAAAAAATTCTTGAGCTTTTTCCGTTTAAAATGACAGAATGCATCCTTTGTTCTACTGAAGTATTTTAAGCAAATGTAACTTTTCTTACTATACTATATGCTCTAGGGAATTAGTGTAGCAAAACTTCGAACGCTTTTGAGTTTTAACTGAATAGTATGAACATCGTCATGAGGTGTCAAGTCAATTGGATTTTGCAACAAATAAATTTATTTGCAAAACTTCATTGCATTCTTCCAATAAATAATATCGTTTGAAAAACAGTCTATTATAGTTGATATCATATTGTGTTAAGATGATCATGAATGACTAAAGAAATATGTATCATTTGATAAATTTCGCATCCTGAGACATAATTTGAATGAAATGAAAATGAGCCTAGGTCGAGGCAGACGGTAAGAGAACACGTTCTGTGTTATTACGAACGCTTATTGTAATTGTTCATATATACCAAAATATCCAACTAGATTCTATAAACCAAGGTTGCACCCCTGGCTTTTATATTTTCGGGTTTATTTTACAACAAAATAACAAAATTAATGTTCAGATATTTAAACGAAAAAGTAAGTTTATGTAGTTAATGTTGATAATTTAATATTTTAATGGAAATTTTCGATCATTTTTTCGATCATTATCAACCTTTTAACACAACCTTATATCTGATGTTAATTTAAATCTCAATATTATTATTATTTTTCATACATTAATGATACATAGTAGTATTAAACAAATTGAGTATTTATATTTGGTTGTGGAATGAATTTAACAACATTCATGTTATTATGATGTTTATGTTAAAATGATGTCTAAATATAAGATGATTATGCTTATTTATATGATAAAGAATGTCTAACGACTATTCGTGTTTTCGTATCATATATTTGTCGTGTAAAATATCTTGTTTTGTTTGTAACATCAGGTTGTGTTAAAAGGTTGATAATGATCGAATAAAGATCGAAAATTTCCATTAAAATATTAAATTTTCAACGTTAATTACATAAACTTACTTTTTCATTTAAATAAATTAAATCTCAACATTATTATCATTTTCATACAATGTTCAGATAGGCAACAAGTAACGCTCATTGTTCGATTCTTTAATCCTTTTCTGAGGATGGGTGTGGATGTGGGTAGCATATTTATATCACACCTACATCCACCCCAAACCCACACCCATACCCACCCCACACCCACACCCACACCCCACCCACACCCACCCCAAACCCACACCCACACTCACACCCCACCCACACCCACATCCACCCCAAACCCACACCCACACCCACACCCACACCCACACCCACCCTTTTTGATCAAGATAATAATTATGATCTATTGAAGTAGAATTTTATATCCAGATTAACTGTATAGCCAAAGATAATTAATTATATCTTAACTATCTTAAATCACACGTTTTTTATTTCTTAATATTTGTCCTCGAAGTTTGTTTGTCGTTCACTTTAATTAGAAAACCGTTTTTTTTCTTCCTTTTCAAATGATGGTAGCATTTTTTTACTTTTAATTACATCGAAATGTTTATTCTAGAGAAAGATGGTATCCAATTGGCTACAGGCCACTTTATGAGACTATTTCTTTTTGTTTTATCCTCTCATGGAAACCATCGATATACTTATTTATATACTCACGAAGAGAGCCATCAGAGGTGATTCAGAGCTTTGAAGTTGAGATTTTGTGTATGGGTAGAGTCCATGTGCCTTGCTTCCTGACGTATGACAATTTTATTGGATATATAATCAATGATAGAAGATTCACTAAAAAATCATAATAACAAATTTTGATCTGAAGTTTTGCCTGTCAATAGAGTTAATCACTCTTAGAATATTCTGAAAGTTTCAGCCGAAAAGAATGTTCCTTTGCCGAGATATTCATTTTTTAAAAGATAGTTGTTTGTCACAAGCAAGTCGCAAAAACAAGTTTATTTCAAAAATCAATATCTCGAAATATCTAAATTTTAGTATAGTTTATAGATGGATATATACAAGGAAGAATGATCAAATATGTGTTTATAGTGTAAATAATTACAAAAGGAAACAAGTTGTTTAGAATAATATCTATCGATTTCTGATCAAGAAAAAATATTAATCAGTAACATTTTTCATCGACTGAATATATTTAATTAATTTAGCAAGAGAAACAAATATTAGACAATTGTAGACAAGAAATTTATATTTTTAAAGATGCAAAACAACGGAAAAATTTCACTAAAGAATATAGTTATCAATAAAAAATCTTGTTCATTATTACAAATCAAAATTTTTGTTGACTAGACGGTGTCGATATAAAATTATTGGACTTATCAAATATTTCTAAACTTCTATTTTTCTTTTATTTCTGTTAGTGTTAGTCATAGTGCAATTATTACCACAACTACTCCTCAAATCTAATAAACAGTTTCTATTATTCTGTTATACATGCGTCTTTGAATTCGAATTTGTTTTTTAGGTATACTAGTTCTGCCATATTTGTTCAAACCCTTTTTGAATAAATGATAATTTTAACAACAACTATATTTTATATCTTAAATTATAAATGTCCGACCAGTTTATCTCAAAGCGTTAGAAGAGATCGTGTATGTGGATATTTATGTGAGTGTGGGTGTGTACGGGTGTTAGCGGAGATATAGGAAGACGATGTCGTATATGATAGTTTACTGCTATCGTAATGTTCGTCTTGAATAGTGAATACAATCGTAAACGTCTAAAAACGGTGCACTTCAGACACTATAAAGGCAGGAATTACGCCATTCTATAGACGTTTCATATCTTATGAGGCGACGTTTCAGATGGTCTGAATGATCGACCTGGGTACTAATTGAACTCGATTCGTTTGAGTCAAAGAACAATTAGTCTTCAACGAAAAATCATACTCAACAAATATTAATCCATCGTACAACAAAAAATGTAAGTCATCGAAAAGCTCCAATAATAGGGTGAAAGAGAAAGGCATGAAGTTGCAATCACGTACTACTCTTTTCTACACTTTTTTTTATCATTCTTTATACAGGTCATCTACAAATTTAGTTTGTCCCGTTTCTCAAGGTAAAACAAAGAAAACATTGGATCTTGTTGACATTACATAAGCAATAATTGTTGAATATTATATATTTTAAGTTATTTTCTTATTATTTTTAGAGGACGATAAAAGTATCTAATATTCCAACAAATTTGTCAATCGATCAAATAACTAATTTATTTTCGGACGGCAGATTCGAGAACATTCATATTCCTGTTGACAATCTTGATAATCAAATTGGAGTTACATATATCACATTTGATACAATTCCACATTGTCAACAGTTCATTTCAAATATCATTGGAACAAATAAATATTGGTTTATTAAGTAATTTTCATTTTGAGTTAAATAAATATATAAATATGTAATATTTTCATTTTTTTAGTAACGATACATACAATGGTCCTGTATTAGTTGAACAATATGATTTACGAGAATATATTGATATTAATGATCGTATTCAGTAAGAACAACGTTTTACTGTTATAATAAATTATTTTCATTAGATCAAGAATTAAGAACATGAATGATCCCGATGATAATATTGCTACGAAAATTGGACAACTGTACATCAACATGAATAAAAAAATGGAAAAAGAAATTAATGATGGACTCGATGAAATCAAGCAACAAGAAGAACAAGAAGAAATTCAAAGTATGATAAAACATTGAAATTGCATATTTTTTAAATAATAAAATTATTCTAACTACTTTTAGAACTTAAAGAACTTGAAAGATTAAAAAACGAAGCAATAGATGAATTAAAAGCTATTGGACAATAACAAAAAGAAATAAAAGAAGGGTTTGCATGTGGATGTGGGTATGTAATGTTATAAAAGCTAATACCCACACCTCTGTAAATTATCTTCTTGATAATGGTGAAAGTTATCACCGAAAACTTGAATAAAATAAAAGCCTTAGAATTTCGAGAACATTTTATGTATTTTATAGCAATCATTTACTGTTTTATTTCTTCATTTGTCATTCAAAAACAAATAAAAATTCATTTAAAACCCACATATATTTGTTTATTTTTATTGGCCATAAATATTTCAGATCCGATAATCTAAGTATTGTATTTAGTGATTAGCTGATCTAAAATAGAAAAAAATAATCCACATTAAATAAACATTTTCTTCAATTGAATTAATTGTTTACACTATCTATACTAAGTACTAATAGATAATTCAAAAATTAGATAAATACATTGAGAAAAATAGCACTCAAAATAAGTTACATGGAGTCACTTTTGTCGTTCTATTATTGCAGATAACGTTTTTTCGCTTTTCTTTTTACGTTCTCTAATTATGTAGGATTTGAAAGTTCTATTTATATACGATCACCTATTTCTATATGGGACGTGAGTCAGGCATCGGTTTTGACTTAGATTCAGGTGTTTTTAGTGAAAACACGCCGAAGAATTTAATATTGCAGTGACTAAACTGAGGAGTATGGTCTTTCTCCAACATATTGTCGTATAACTTCAGTAAAAATAGGGTATCAGAACGGTAAAAATAAAGAACAATTAATATACTCTTTTCGAGAAACTATAAAGTATTCTTGTTTTAATAAAGAAATTTTGCTAAAGTAAGAGTAAATAGACGATTACGTGCATTCAAACAATAAATGAAAACAAGGAAGCAACTTATACATATATATGTGACGCTATCATAATTTTTTTTTGAGTATTCTTTTCAATAGTATCTTCGGTATGACCTGAATTATTTCTCTTTATGTTCGAGCACCATATAAGAAAAAGATCGATTTTCAAAAGCATCTGTACTGATGTTTGAACAACTATTCCATGATGATATGACTCTGAGAAATGATAAAAGAAGCAAGATCTGATCTCATCGCTGCTGAAGATTTTCCAAAAAATCCACTACAAAGCCTGATCGTTTTTTTTAGATTGTTATTTAATTTAATCACTATGATTTGTCTCTCTTTCTCATGTCTGTGTAGAGAATAAACTGTTCGCAATAATGTCATATTGCGACTAATTGATCTGTAACGAATTGACTGTGACGAAGTGATCGATCACTAATATTTAGAATACAATTGAATTCATTATTATTAAATATATTTTCAACTCATTTTGTTATTCTTCATCAAATACATAATCTTTACAACGAATAAACCAATAAAAGCACATCCTCAAGATGCTACAATTTTTAATCGTTTTCGATTATAAATATATTATAATACATCTTTTTGTTACTTCATCCAATATCTATCACTTGGAACAATATTCGTTTTTAATTGATTAGAAAAATAAGCCAATGTCTTCTTAGTCATTTCTCATTGGTTGTTTTGATTTCTCAATGTGAAATTTTTAGATTTCGTATCGAAGATAACTTTCAAAATTTTCTCAGTTTTATATTATTGTTCAGCTATATGCGTGAGAAAAGGCAAAGCAACGATCTAGTTCAACAACAATCATTAGTTGATGTAACGAAGAATATATATTTTTTTCTTTCTAACTAAATTTTCTTTGTTTTATTTCAAGAAAGAAGAAGATGTTCTTCGACAAGTTGTTGAACGTGAATACACAACTTTATATCGTCAAGTACATAAAGCTGCACAAAAAACAGCTCGGTAAAAATTCGAATTGAGAATACTTTTACTGACATATAATTTCTATTGCTTTTTTTAGTGACATACTTCGACATATAATTCAAGCTCCACCACCGCAACCATTAACTATACCTATTCCTGTATCGACAAATGAAGCAAATAAAGACACAGATGATGTTACTAAAACTATTTCAGTTATTGTAACAGATGGTACGAATAAAAATCCACGTAAAAATTCAACAGTACCAACTATTATGCCAACACTTCCTGTTGTTCGAGAATTGGTCTCCTACGTACCAACAAGAAAAAATCTTGCTACACGTGGTCATCTTATTGGTATACCATATTTAGGAGATAAATTTGATGCTGAAGATCAACGATTAATTAATTCAATATCTATTGAACCATCTAAACAACAGAAATTAATACGGAGTATGTTTAAATTTTTAATATTCTATTAAATAAAAATAAATTTAATTAGAAAAAAAACTTGATGAACAATCCTTAGAAACTTTATATCAATCAATTCGATCAAATAGTTTATGGAATGCATATTCAAATGAACAAATTATTGATGCAATAATTCGTAAGAAAATTGAAGGAGTTACAAATAATTCTATTTCTTTTTATATAGATTATCATCGTGATTCAACACCAAGAACAAAACTTTTGACATTAGCAAATCAAAATGATTGTTCTATTATTGAGAAACAACGACTTAATACCAATATTGATAATTGTGATTCATTAGATGTTGATATTGATGAACTTATTATTAAACCTTGGTGTTCTCGGTTTTGTCCACGATGTTATACCTATAAGTAAGAATTTTTGTACTTATTAATTGCATTTTATCACTTTTTTTTTCATCTAGTTGTCTATTACACAAAGAAGGCCCATCATATTTACCATTACCAAAACAATTTGCTATTTCATATAATAATCATTCTACACAATGCAGTTCTACATGTTGTAAACATCAACGTGAACATCTTAAACGATCATTATCACCATCATCTACTACTAATGAATCAATTGATCAAATCAATAATCATAAAAAACGTCAACGTCGAGGTTCAAATAAAATAAGTTTATCACCAGATGAAAATTTTCGTACTAATCTATCTGTTGATATAAATTTGCAATTAATTGAAAGTCAAAGAAGATATTCATTACAATGTTTAACACAAATTGAAAATCATATGATTTATCCATCATTACAACAAATTTCATTAGAAAATTCTTGGTCATTAACTGATCGAAGTTTATTTCGTTTATTCTATTTTGTCTTAGATGGAGATTTATGTTTATTAAATCAATTACTTCATAATAATCAAACATGTCAAGATCTATATGAACAATTTATTTTTGATTCAAAATATTTTTCCGAACGTATATCATTAACAAATGGTTTACCATTTTTAATACGTCATCCATATCGAAGACGTATGCCTGAAGGTACAACACGAGCATTTCTTAATTATATGAAAAGAAATCTTAATCGACCTAATGAAAATACTAATCGAAAAAATACAACAACAACAACAGCAACAACATTAAAACCTGCATATCAACCATGTTCACATGATGGACCATGTACAATAGATAATCCTGATTGTTGTTGTATAAAAATGGGAACATTTTGTGAAAAATTTTGTAATTGTTCAATTGATTGTCCACATCGATTTCCCGGTTGTGCTTGTCGAGGAACATGTTTATTTAATAATTGTTTATGTAGTGCTGAAGGTCGAGAATGTGATCCTGATTTATGTCATAATTGTGGAGCATCTTTATTTTTTAATCAATTGAATACTTCAATTAAAATGTAAGTTTTAATATTTCATTTCATTACTGTAAACTTTTATATTTTAGAGAACAAGACATAACTACATCAACATCAATAACAGAAGAAGAAGAAGAAAAACATTTATCAGCATCATCTGCACGAAATGTTCGATCACGAACATTTAATAATTTACCAGTACGATCACAAACTCTTCGATCATGTCGTATTGTTGAACCATCATATAAAGTAACATCCAAGCAACGAAGACGTACAAATTCTAGAGCATCATTAAATTCAACTGTACCACAATTATTACCAATGGTTACATGTGCAAATATTGCATTACAACGAAAAATTCATAAACAAATTCTGATTGCTGAATCTGATAGTAAATTCATTGAATTGATTTTATCAAAAATCTTTCTCATTTTCTTTTAGTTGCGGGTTATGGAGCTTTTCTTGGTTCACCAGTTGCATATCCTGGTGATTTAATTGCAGAATATACTGGTGAAATCATTTCAGAAGAAGAAGCTGATCGACGAGGACGTCTCTATGATAAACGTGCGTGTTCATACTTATTTAATCTTGATATGCAACATTGTATTGATGCTCGACAATTTGGTAATAAACTTCGGTAAGATAAATTTAAAGAAAGGAAAAATTTCAAATTAAATTTTGTTTTAGCTTTGCTAATCATTCCTCGAAACCAAATTGTGTTCCAAAAATAAAATTAGTCAATGGTGACTATCGTATTGGTATATATGCTAAAGAAGTTATTTTTCGAGGTGATGAATTATTTTTTGAATATATGTATGATGCACATCAACGTCAACAATTTATTAATAATGAACGCATTGATGAAACAGAACAAGAGAATTTAATAATTTTAACACGTTATGGTGAAAATTTTATGTTAGTACAACCATCAAATGATTGAATCTCAATGAAAAAAACAAAATTTATCTATATATACATATCTCGGTGCTTGTCTCGATGTCTGATATTCAAAGTGTATTTTCTTTTTTCCTATTATTACATCTATCTTCTACTATGTAATAGTTTTTATTTGTTATTAAAAGTAAACCATTGACAAAAGCAATAGAAAAGCATTTTTTTTTAAAAAAAAAAGATGTTCATGATCTACTTTCTTGTTCTTTATTGTATAGAAAAAGAGAAATTAAATAAAAGAAATGTTAAACTTAGAATTTGTTTTGTTTTTCTTCTTTCTCTTCATATTGAAATACAACTATCTTATGAACATCTTTCTAGTTATTGTATATAAACAAATGCCTCTTATTGTTATATCTGGTGGTCCATGTTCGGGTAAATCAACGCGAGCACAATCTTTGTATGAATATTTTAAAACAAAATCGATGCCTGTTCAGATTATTACCGATAATAATCTAGATAGAAATGCAGTTTACGCAGGTTTTTTTATTGATTCATATTTAAAACTCTATAATGTTTCTTTTCCCAATAGACAATACACTTGAAAAACAAGCTCGAAGTGATCTTAAAGCTGAAACACAAAGGTAAAACTAATCGAATAATATTCATATTATCTTACTTTGAAATTATAGATTAGTAACAAAAACTGATTTGGTTATACTTGATGCATTGAATTATATAAAAGGTAGCCTTATAAATAGATTATTTTATATTACGGAAGTGTATAGTAAAGTGAACATTAACAGTAATATATCATGACATGTAAAGTGGAAATTAATAGCGGATATTATCCTTTCATTTTATTATAATTAAGATGTACATGTTAAGATTATCGGATCATCTATTATAAGAAATTATGAATATAATTCTAGGTTACCGATATGAACTTTATTGTATTACTAAACTCTATCAAACCGTTCAATGTACTGTAAGTTGATAATTCGTATTTATATATGTTTTATTTATTCTAAATAAAAGATTTATTGTAATACACCTGTTCATCTTGCACGTGAATGGAATGTAGCGAATAATAGATATAATGAATCAACGTAAACTTTGAAAATGAATTATTCTTTTGAATATGATCTTTGTTTATTAGTTTCGATGCATTAGTACAACGTTATGAACCACCGGAAGGTCGAAATCGTTGGGATGCACCACTTTTTGAATTAGCACCTAATGATGAATTACCTTTAGAACAAATTGCCGATTATTTAGCTAATAAACGTCCACCACCACCAAATAAATCAACAGTAAATGTAAGTTATTATATCAATTAATAATCATAAATTAGCTCAATATTATTTTTAGTTACCAATATCGGATACAAATTTTTTACATGATGTCGATCGTGTTACTCAAGATGTTCTCGATGTATATAAATAAATAAATCTAAATAATTAGTTCTTTATTTTCTTTTCATTCTAGTCAATTGTACAACAAAGTAAAATAGCTGTACTAGGTCAACAATTTTCAATTCCTGGAACAACAGAGAAAGTAAATAATTTCATATGATATAGAAAAATAAAATTAAACGATTTTGTTTTTCTCTTCTAGATTACTTGGAATCAAAGTCATTCTGTTTCCGATTTACGTCGAATTCGTCAACAATATCTGAAATTTATTAAAACTCATCCACCATCAAAAGATAGTACTAACGTTACAGCAATGTTTGTTCAGTTTCTTAACAACAATCTTTGTTAACATGTGCTTTTTTTCTTTTACTTGTTCTTTATAAATAAAAGAAAAACACAGACATACGAATCGTTGACGTGGTATACTCATGTTACTATCAATGAGTCATTGATTCTTTTACTCAACATGTAAAACTACAATACATCTTTTTCGTTTTCTACATTTGGTAACTATAAAATAATCTTCGTGTATATACTTTATTAAACATAGATTATATATGAAGTTATTACTAAGAGATAGCATGAGAAAATATATTTTAGATTTCTTATTTAAAAATGAGGTGTAAATATATTATTAGTTGACATGTTAATGTATCGGCAATGAATTTTATCAGTAAAATTAAATAAAAAGCATATATGGAAATAGATGAATGACTTCCTTTCTCAATCATTACATAGTCACATCCAGACATATCATTATTCATACTTATAAATGAGTAGTTGTTATTGATGACGTGTCCTGTTAATGCAACGTCTGTCAGTAGAAGTTTGTCTACGAAATACTTATCAACAAAAATGTTAGTCGTTAAGAACACAGAATAAATAATTTTTTTAGAAATAGAAATATAACAGACGTTGTTGTAGATGTCTTTCAACGATCAAAGTAGGTCAAATATTACTGTCAGCAGAGTATACGACTGAATTATAGACAGTTGTCTGGTAAAATCTTATATTTAGTATGAAGAAGTAAGCCGAACGTATTTAATTGTCGATAGAATATTGAAAATTTCTTTTCTCTTATGATATATTAGTATTTTTGTTAAGTACGAACAACTTGACCTTGTTTTTTCCGTATTTCATTGTAAATTACTATTTATATAATCTAACAACATTTCTCATTTCTATCAAAAAAATAGACTTAGATTATTTTGTATCTCAATCGATTACTACTTATATTCTGATTAGAATAGATATGCGCGTTTAACACATATTTATATATACAAAGTAATTTCCCATATATTCTTTTTGATTAAATTCACGTTTTAAAAATTTTAATCATATTACTTAGTCATTTGTAAAATTCTTGATAATTATATTAAGAAAATCTCGTGCATCTGAAATGATACGAAAGAAATATTGATTTTGTCTATTTATTATACTAGATTGAGAAAAAAATGCTTCTTATTCGATCACCAACATTAACTTTTGCATTTATATTTTCCATTATATCAATTTGTTTAGCAATTTTAACATTTAATATTAATTATGATAAATCCGAAGATCTTATACAATTTTTAATAATATGTCCACCCATAAATTGTATATTTATCTTTCTGTTCTCTGCTACATGGATTGAACGTCGTTTTCGTTTATCTTATATTCCATTTATATGTTTATTAATTTTATTTTCTTCATTTATAACATTAACAAGTATATCAACATTATTTTTACATTTATCAATAATAATGTATTTCAATTTAATTTATTATTGTTTTTGTTCAATTTTATTTCTATGTATGATTATTACAACTATAATATCATATTTTTATGGTGCATTATTTATTCATCGTTTTCGTAATATGATGACAATTGAACAACAAAATAGTGAAATATTAAATGAAGTTGAACGTCTTCATATTGATAAACATATATTAAAATCATCAAACGATAATGAATTAATTTTATTTATGTCAAAGTTACCTGGGCGTCGGATACGTCATGATATTCGTAATATAGAAGATGATTTAAATGAAATACAAGTTGATACAATTATAACATTAAATGAAATTAAAGAATTATCATTCATGGATATGACGAATAAGAATCTATATAATATGGATACATATTCAATGCATATAAAACGAGCAAATATTGAACATATTATATATCCAATACGAGATCGTTTTATACCAAAATCAATTAGTGATTATATGCAATTTATATATAGTATAATAATAAATTCGAATCGTTTGAATCGCAATCGTATACTTGTACATTGTATGGGTGGAATAGGAAGAACTGGTATGACAATTGTTTGTTTAGAACTTACCTATGAATATATCATGAGAAATACGAATGAACTAGAAAAAAATCAAAAATTTATTGAACGTTTTTGGCATTATCCATTGTTATTGCCAAAATATTGCCGAGTATGCCAAGCAATTGCAACTGTTAGAAAAGCACGACCAGGAACAATTCATAATCCATTACAAATTTTATTTGTTCATGAATATTATGCTCGTTTAAAATCTTCGTCATATATGCATCAAATTAAACTTATACTTGATCTTCATGAAAAATTATTATCATCTACACAAGATAATTTACATTCACCATTAAATCTTTCTCATGAACATTAATCGGAAAAACAAAAATTCATCTACAGGTGTGAACAAAGTCAAATAAAAACAAATTTCTTTTTGCAAACATCAAATATATGTTATAATATTATGTAAACTTAAAGCTAATCTTAATTTCTCTATTTTCTTTTTCATACTAAAAAAATATTCACTTTAATTAATACCGGAAATAAACGAAAAAACACATTTTTCGATTTGATCTGCTTTACTCCTGTGTATATATATATATATATAGTCAATGTTTCCTTCACAGCATGACACATTTTCATGATGTGAAAAAGCTCATTCATTCCTATTAACAGCATCATTTATCCAACAAGTAGAACAGTGAAATTCAAACGAAAAAGATGTGATGTTTTCTTCACACACACGCATCATATATCCTCTCTTGTGTATTGTTTAGATGAAGAAATTCGAGATAGAAAAAGACAACAAAACAATTCTTTATGAAACAAACATACATATTGAACTACTGTTCTAAGTATATAGATATCGTCATATGATGGAGAAAAAGATTTAATAAACAAACGGAAGCTTGTTCGTTTTTTTTTCACCTATGATAAATGTGTCAATAGTTATCTAACATTTGTATATAATTGGATCTATTTGAAAAAAAGAAACATTCTAATCTTAAAACAAGTGATATTCCGACCGTTTGAAAATCTATATCTCTTTTTTGTTTTAATAGAAAAGGTGTAATCAAATCGATAATTAATATCTTAAGAATGTCATTTTTTTTCTGTTCATTCATCCATCATTCTTATGTAAAACAGTCATTTTCGTTTCCACTTCAAATGAATGAATACATCATTGACATAACATGCAATTCTCACGTTGAATAGTCAATTCACTGATTGAATATCTATGACATAGGTTTTTCTTTATATTCGAATTTAACCAACAGAAGAAGAAGAAGAAAAAAACAATTGTGTCAATAATCATATTTTAATTTAATAAGTAGTATTGATAGCAATTATTTTTAAGTTCAATAGTAACACAATAAAAGTCAATAATCATAAAATTTTTCTTTTAATATCTTTCTTAAATAAATCAAGTTTCAAATCATCAAACACAGCAATGTATGTTTAAAGTATAACAACGACAAAAAAAATTTCTTGCACATACAATGCGCATCTTTCTCTTTCGCATGTTACACACGGTTATATCCCGAGCAAAACCAACAAACAAACAAACAAAAAAAATAATAATAATAATTAATAACAAGAGACAAAATCACATGTGAACTATACATACAACAGACGTGATATATAAATAGAAAAATAAGTTCAATATAGAGACGAAAAGAAGAAAAAAAATTTCAAATCTAAGGGTTTCTTTGTTTTTTATAATAATAATAGTTTACTTATTAAGTAAAAAAGCAGAAAGAAAGATATCTTCGGAACTTGTTATTGGTGAATCCATTGGAGATATCGAACGAGATGATGATACTGATGAACGAATATCACTACCAAATGTTGAGGATGATGATGGTGAAATTGTATTACATGATAAAGTATCAGAACATTGATCATGTACAAAATGACATCGTGGACCATAAGGACCTTTAAGAAAGAGAAAAACAAAGTAAAATTTTTGTCCTTTTCTTCTATTTAATTTTACTTACAATATCCCGTACAATGATATGTTCGACAAAGTACAGTTTTATATTTTGGATGTCGATTTAACGAACGTATTTCATGATAGCCATGAGCAAATTGACATTTTTCACCATATTTGCAAAAACCAGTTTCATGATATGAACGACATGATTCAGTTTTATAACGTTGTGATGATGTTTTACCACCACCACTACTACTAATACTACTACTATCTGATGATGATGATGGTGATGTTGTTTGAATAATATGTGTAGTTATGGTTGTCATATGTTGAGAATTAGAACGAACAACGGGACCACCAACAGCTTTTGAATAAACTTTTGTAGATGATGTCGGAGATAATACATTAACATTCTATATAAAAATAGATAGTTTTAGATTTTTCAAAACGAAAAGAACTATGATTTTATAACTTACAATTGATGTAAGCATATCATGTAAGTAGCAAGTTGGAAGTTGAAACATGGTAGTGAATATCAAGGCACCAATGTCGAGACAATAAGATGACGAATATGTCCGTACACGTCGTCTTTTCTCTCTTATATATTTTTCTTCTTTTCGAATAAATGTCTAGTGCATATTTTCTCTCTTTCGCTCTCTCTCTTGCTGTGTTTTCTCTCTTTTTCGTATGAACCTGCCATGCGAACAAATAAAGACCAATAGGGAAACATTTCTTCCATCTTCTTTTCTCTTTTATTTAAATGACGTAAACATTAAACATATATATATATATATATGTATGTATGTATGTATATTGGCAGGATATCAAAAATATCGTTAATAATTAATTGTATGAATGATGATATATTGGCTAATTTCCAAAAACTAGTTCTTCGAAATTATTTTTCTCTTTGATGATAAAACTTTTTGAAATTCACACTAGGCTTCATTCTTTTGATCGAAAATGAACAAGCTACTTGTTATTCTATATGAAAGAGAGAGAGAAAGATATAACTATGAGAACTATGAATGGATAAGAGACCATCTTATCACCTTGTTTAGTTGAGAAAAAATAACAAAATAATATTTCACACATGTATATATTTTTTGAGAACAATGACCATTTAACACTTGTTTAAATCGAGGATTAAGTAGGGTGAAGAGTTTGATTATTCTCTGTGGTTAGTTCTGGAAAACTGATGAGAATTGAAACGTACTCAGATAAAAGTTTTTAAATCAATAAAATTGTTGTTTGATCAATGGGTGATTTAAGAAAGAGATTGTTGAATAAACAGCCATCTCATATATGTATATATATAAGTAGGCGTTTGATTTTATTTTTGATTTTAAAACTCGGAAATATCGATATTATGGGCGAACACTTGTCTAACAAGTTCAAAAGAGATACACCCTGAAGAGAGACAAAAAAGTGTCATGAATATATAATAGAATGCGAATGATGATCGATGAGGATCATCTCTTTGATTTGATCAATGTTCATTGAAAGGTGACGTAAACCTCATTAATCGAATAAGATAAAAGAAGATATTTAGAAAAAAGAAGAAGAAGAAACTCCTATTTATTTCTATAATGTTAAAGTCATTTAACATATTAAATCTATCTAATCCATTTATGCGCAACAGGTATTCACGTCATAAATTGTGCACAAAAAAAGAGGCTATAATTGGATATATATCTTATGTCCTGCAATGCAATTCATATAATCGATAGCTTACATGCAACAGTTATAAATTTTAAAAAAAGGACATTTTTTTCCTCTCTCTCTCAATATACATCTGCCTGTAGTATGATTATATCTGTCAGGATGATAGTAATTGCCTTGAAGCGAGTAAGGATATGCAGGTGATGATTAAATAAAATAAAAATTCTTTCAATTGCATACCATTGTTCAACATATAATAGTACTTCGTTCTTTCGATATCATGGCATTGAGGCTTCCTGTTTTCAGATTCGTTTATCAAACACTCTGATACGGAACACGTGACCACTAGGCTACCAATTGGTCATATATTATTGACAATGTCAGTTACGATCATGTTTTCAAACAACTTTTGACAAGATATTAGCCAAGTTGATCAATCTAAAATGCTTGACATGTTAGGAAATCTTGTGTATGATCTTATTACAGATGTACAGCTGAGACGCGAGTAATGGTAATATCCTTTAAGGATTGCTTTACATAATGAAAAATCGACAATGTATGGCGTAGAGTTTTAGTCCATTGAAAATGATTTTTGATAGATCATTATTCTATCATTAGTTTCTTGAATTTATTAATAGTTCATGTAGAACTGAAGCTATTAAAATCTAATAACCACTTCAATTAATTCTTTTTGATATTGTTCGACAAAAAGAAAACCAACGCATTGAATATCTAGATATCGGATATAACATTAGCACTAAAGATCTTATTTTTTGAATCTGTTAAATAGAATAAAGATATATCAAAAAAAAAGACAGGTAATTTTTTTATATAAGTATAACAATCAAGAAAAAAACTTTAATAAATAACAATTAATACAAATATTGAATATGCGTTTTAATATTTAAACATCTTCATTATCTAGATGTTGATTATATTCAAGTGTTTGAAGAAAATAAAGTAAATGTGCAATTTTAGGATTTGCACTTGGTGGTCGTTGTTGAATATCACCTGATAATGCACTAACACAAAAACTACTTGATGGTGATAATTCATTAGTTAATATTGAACTCAAATGACTTGTTGATGAATTTACACGTGGTAAAGTAAGAAGTTGTTCAGTACTACCATTTGAACGTCGTAGAGGACTCTAAAAAAATATATTTTTAATGCCAAAGAGAAATTTCTTCAATACATACATGAGAAGTTTGAAATGATGGAATTGTTAGTGCATTATTACTACGTGTTTCATATCTATATTAAATCTTACAAATATTGTATATTAATTTTCATATATATTTACCGAATATTTTCAGTTGATATGCAATCATATTCATATGGTGATGTACTTGGATGTTGTGCCAATGAAATCTTTTAATATATGTACATAGAATTGAACGAAACAAAGATTTAAAAATATAACATACCATACTTGAATGATTACTTGGAAGAAATAGAGAGCTTTCAATATTCATTGAATCACTTCTCATACTACCGTATGCTGTACTATTAGATTGAGCACTTATACGATGATGAGGATGAGATGAACGAAATGCAACCTGATGCTGTTGTTGTTGTGCTATAGAAATATAAATATTACTTTTAATTTTAAGTCAAACGAATATGAAATGAAACGATCACTTGTCATACTTAAATCTATTTAATCATTTTGAGTAGGGAAAAGTATAATTCCTGATAATATTTTCCTAAGGCTATATTTATACCACTAATTTTTTTAATCCATCCTCTTAATTACTCTCAGACATTTACCACTATTTAACAATGTTTCATGTTCATCAGTTTCACAAACTCCGGTAACATGTATAGCTGGTAGAATTGCTTTTCTTGTTATTTGTTGTAAAGAATTAGTCATTGATACTCGATGTACTGGTAAAGCCGTACTTGTACCAACTGATAATTCTCCTAAATTATCACCAAGTGTCTAAAAAGAAAAATTCTATTTATTATTAAAAATTGAAAACTAATTTTTTACATCAATATTCAATGAAATTCCTTGATCAACAATAATATCTTCATCATCATCAATATCATTATTTTCCATAAAAACATTTGATTGCTGTTGACTTAATACATTCGAAGGATTTACCTATGTAAAAAAAGATAAGTAAAAATTTTAATTATTCAATAAATTTCGAACATTCCAAGTCGATTTTATATTAGACAAATTTTCTTTTCTTTCTTCGAATTGTGTTTCATAATTATCATCTGTACGTTTATGTTTCTTTTGTTTGAATGCTTCTTCACCATGAATATTTTTCACATGTTTTCGTAATGAACTTGGATCTGTATAGGATTTACCACAACCTTGCATTTTACATATATATTCTTTCTAAAAAAAACGAAGAATTTCGGCTTTTGTTTTTATTTGAAAATTTCAACTTTATTTAAATGTGTTCGTTTAACATGTTTCGTTCGATCAGATGGATTGCTAAATGCTTTTGAACAATCAGGATGATCGCATGGATATGGTTTTTCACCTAGATAAATGTTCAGATTTTTATATGAGAAGAAATTCTTGTTCTCTTTTTTTCACGCAGATCTATTCGAATTAGCCGCTCAAGATGATCGAGCCGGATAATCGAATTTTATGAAATCCGATAAATATTCAACATGAGTTTAAATTACCCGTATGTGAACGTTCATGTAAACGTAAATATTCTGCTCGTGTAAATGTTTTTTTACAACCAGTATGTACACATTGAAATGGTCGATCTTGTGTGTGAGATCTTAGATGAAGAAATAATGAATATAATGATTTAAATGGTATTCGACCACGAGTACATGTTTGCCATTGACAAAACCATGTATGAGAATCAGTTCGATTAATATGAACAGATCGAATATGCTTAAATAAAAAATGAAAATTTTTTATTATTAATTAAAATTTCGAACTTCTGTTAATTGTGTTGGAGTTGAAAATAGAAGATCACAACCAGACCATTGACATTGTATCTCACTAGGTTCTATTAATGGTGGAAGAGTTGTCTAAAGGCAAAAAAAAATTATTTATATAAACATCTAAATTAAAAATAGAATATTTACTCTAGATATACGATTATCTGAACGTTGAATAGTTGGAATAAGATTAATTTCCATTGATTGTTGTTGCGAACGAGATAATAAATTATCCGACATTGGAGAATAGGATAATGGACGTTTACCCTTTCCATCACTTGAAGAAAATGATGGTGTCGATAATCGAGAATCTGAATAAATATATCAAGTATTATTCTTATTAAGATATAAAACGTACGTTTAATCGAGTTTAATGATGGTAATGTATTTGATTTTGAACTTGAACTTTTTGAAGCAACAGATAAAACACCGACATCATTGGATGAGCCAATTAAAGGTAATGCACCTTTTGTTATTTAATACACATAATATATATATTTCTTAGCAGGTAGACTTACCGAAAGTATGTTGAATAAATGTTGCAGTTTTTGATAAATTTGACCATTCAAGTGGTGTCATACTTGATTTCTTAATGAATATATATCTGTAAATGTTGTGCTAGTCATCTTCTTATCTGGTTTATTTACCAATAGGCTGACATCTGTGTTTCCTCATCATCATCGCAAATGAATGTGATAATGATTATAGCAGACAGAAAACAAAAAAATCTCGTTCGATTAATACAATACAAATATTTTTCTTTACACTTCTATTCAATTTCGTTAGATAAATTATTTTCTAATTGACAAATTTTTGCTTTTTTTAGTCAAAAGTTTAATAGAAAGATTCCGAATATAAAATGCCGTCGATCTATAATATAATCAAGTTTGTTTTCTATTTTTTATATATATAAAGTTAGATCAACTTGATAACGTCCATTTGTAGTTCTCAATTCTTAAGTACCTTTTTTCGGCTCGAATAGTACTTAAAACTTGGCGTTAATATACAATTTTGATTGATCTGACATTTGCCGACTGTTACTTGTCAGAAGAAAAACTAAAGATTATTTGCATTATTGATTTACTGAATATTAGAAAGAAAGTAATTTATATGTTCGAACTAAACAGACAAACAGTTGTTCTTTTATTATGTAAGTTATCACATTCATACAACAAAAAAAATTCTCTATCTTTTTTGTTATCAATTTTCAAGGTAAATTTTATAATAAATGATTTGATCAAAATTTTTTTTATTATATTTTAAAAGAACAAATTTTTCTAATTATTGATAATGATATGAATTCAACAAATGATGAATATATTAATTCGTTATCAGTATGGGGACATCAACAATTAATTCTTTGTATAATTAGTATTTCACTTAGTATTCTTCTAGTTTGTATAATATTTATTGTACCTGCTGCGATTATTATTCGTCGAACACAACGACGTCAAATTCAATTAAATTTAAGAGAATCACAGCGTTTTATTGGATTCATGTAGCTTTTTTTACTTGTTGTAGTTCTATGTATATATACTGATATGTAACGGTAAATAATTATAAAAAAATAGCACGTCGGATGCAATTTACTTATTCAATAGAGAACGATAAATTTTAATACAGCTAAATAAATATTTTAAGATTCCTATACATGATTGAATAAATATAAACTAACAGATTTAAACTTCTATGCTGATTTATTGAATGAATATTTAAAAAAAAATAATGTTATGTCGACATTCTACTGTCTTGTAATCATTTTCTTGATTGAATCTCAATACTGACACTTCTATTATTTCAACTCTCAACACTGCATGTGTTCTTTTGTATGTGCATCTTTACTCACTTCAACGAAATTGACATTCAAACACACGATTTCATTTTTTTTCTTATTTATTTTTGTCACTTTCATTTCATCAGACATTCTTTTAAAAAACATTAAAACGTTTTCGCTTGTTATTGTTAAAGTTTTAACAAAATTATTCGAAAAAAATCCATTCCAATTGTCTGAGAGGCTTACTTGAACGTAACGTTTCCCTAGTGAAATCATCTTGTTAGAATTCTCCCTGAAGATATGTAGTTATTAGCGACCTCTATGAAAGATTTTGCATTTCTATAGTAATCAAATATATATATTTCATCAACATTTGATAAGTATAAACGTTTAAAATATATTTTATGAATCGATTTAAAAAAATCTCATTTATTATTCCGTGTCGAGGTTTTACTCAGCTCCCTGAATGCTCCATCACAATGACAGCAATGTCGACGAATGAAATGAACGAGAATACAAGCGAATAACCGCCGCTGCATTTGCACATACTACATACATATATATATATATATTCTAGCTTGCTTGTTTATTTACCTCTTTCCAATATTTCTCTTCTCTTATTCTTTATTTTTATTTTTAAAAATAAAAGGAAATATTTCATCTTCCATATATCATCATTTAATACATTAGAAATTAACAGATCAATGTCCTTCAAAAACTAATATACAGGAATGAGGACATGGAAAATGAGAGTTTACAACGCCGTTCAACGGCTACAATCAAGAATATGGGTAGAAAGAAATTTTCGTATTGTTTTGTCATATAAATAATTATTTTTTTTTTAAGGAGTAAATTCTTATTCTGCATTTGGCGCTCAAGGTAACATTACTGACGATAAATTAACTCTTTTACCTGTACTACAAAATACACTTGCTATTACACAAGAACGACAGACATCCGAATCAAAACATACATTATACGACGAACAGTTATCATCAAGGTTAGTCGATAGTCTATTAATTATCATCATCATATTTGTATATCTATTTAGTAATAGAACAATGAACTGGGATATGGAAACAAATTATATATGCCCAACAGTTGTTCATCATTCTTCAAATAATAATAATAATAATTATGTTCATTTAACTGAATGTGTTTTACAACCAAATTCATCGACAACGATTATTCAAACTCCACAAACAACGAAATTGAGTATGAATAAATTTTTTGTATTTAAAAAAAGATGTTTTTTTCAAAATCTATATAGATAATGATGATACCATTGCAAATACAATACAACAACAATCAACAAAACAAAATTTTACAAATTTTGCTAATACAGATCTCAATGGTAGATCAATTTTTTTATTTTCTTGTAGAAAGAATGATGAAAAAAAAGAACTCGAATATTTATCTCAGAAGAAATAAAGATAAAGCGTTACCTATAGGAAAAAGACTGATTTTTTTATCTATAGTGTAGTTAAAGAGAGTATTATATTACATGATATAGAATAAATGGGTCACTTTAGAGTATTCTAGAGAATTAATTTACATAAAAACAAGCTATTGATTTTGTTGTCAAATATATATAATTACAGAATTTTAATCTTTCTTGTAATACTGATCGAACAAATAATCTTATTTCCTTAATATCTAAAGTGAAATATAAACAAGATTCTGTAGTTCATCATTTCATTGTAATATTTATATGTGCTACTGTATCTAAGGCGTACGATCAGTTTTGAGTTCAATCAATCGATATCATCTACTAGTAGGATTAATTTACGATAGAAGAAAAATCAGTTGTTAATTATCGAATAGTATTCTATAAAAAATGTCTTATATTCCTTTGAGCATTAAGATTGCCAGTGGAAGGTTAATGTCTATAGCCAGAAACTATATTTTTAACGGAATACATTTACAAAAGGTTCTATCGGAAATCAGATTTTACCTTGTAGATAATATCTATTAATGAATATTTATGAGAAAAATAAATAGATTACGTTTTTTATTATATATATCGAAACATTTTTTTGATTTTTAGGTTCAAAAGTTATCCGCTTAGTTCGTGCTAAACAAGCTACTAAACGTAAATCAAGTTTAGATACATTAATTGAAGTTGTACAAAAAGAATTACTTCGTGTGAATGGTCAATCAAATTCAACTTCACCACCTTCTTCTCCTCCTCATTATTCTCAAACACGTCCAACAACATCAACTTCAATATCATCAAAACAACCATCACAACAACAACAACAACAGCAACATCATCATCGATCAATGATATCTTCTGTATTACCATCATCACACCCAGGTTCGTTAACATCTCAATCAAATCATTCATTTAAAACAGCACGTAAACGAGTTAATCATCATTTAAATAATACAAAACGAACACCAACTAATCGACATCGAAGTAAATCTTTTAATATTAATAATGATGATCTAACAGATGATCTTGATTTATTGAATGAAGATGATATTGATAATAATAATAATAACCATCATCATCATCATCATCATCACCATCACGATGACCAACAACAACAATTAAATGAATCTATAAATGATATGGATTCATCATCAGAGAATATTGAAGAAATTGTTCGTGATACTGTTGATAAACTTGTTGCTATAACACTTCTTAATAATGCACCATTTATTGTTAATATGATTACTGGTACACCGGGCAATGGTGCCAATACAAATACTGACTCAAAATCATTGACAACTACTGCTAATACAAATGTAAGTTTATATCATCCCTATGAGTAACATAAAATTTTAGTAGACTCTTCGTTGACAACTTGACTAACTATATATAAATCATCACTCAGTCTCAAAATGAATAAAAATATAAATAATAGATATTTTAATACAATTAATGTACATCTGTTTTATTAAGCATCCATGTTAGTATGAGTAGTTTAGTATAAATTTTAATAAAAGCCATACTTTAATATTCGATATATCTCATAAATAATTCTAAATCTTTCATATATTCCAGACCAAAATCAATTATATTTTCCTTTGAATAAGATTGTCAGTTGTACATAGATATTATTAGATTATCTTCATATAACAGACATAAAAATTTCTATTATTCTTTTCCAGGCTACATCTAACGTAAAGCCTCCGGTAACTACATCATCATCATCATCCGATTATTATCGTAATGACCTTGCTTTGCTCTCATCAACTGCAAGTGAATTACGAAATTCTATGCAACAAACATCACCGCTTAAACAACAAATTGTTATTCAACCATCCGCATCCACACATCAATCAACAGATTCAGTAAAACCATCAACAGTATTTGTTACACCACGTATATTAAATTTTCAAACAGTCGTACCAAAACCAACAACAAATATACAAATAGGTAATACAAAAATTATTCTTGTATCACCATCAGCAAATCCTTCTTCTCAACAATCCCAACAGCAACAACAGCAATGTCTTACTAGTAATAGTCCTGTTAAACTAGTTAAACTAACACCAACTTTACCAAAAAATGTTCAAATTGTCATACCATCACGAACATCTAATGAATCTCTTTCAACAACAATTCGTCCTCTATCAACATTAACTACTTGTTCAATTGATCAAATTCCTCAAGCAGCACAAGAAGTAACTATAACAACATCACCAAATTTAAATAAACCACGAAGACGTTCATCAAGTACGACACCAACAGATAAACCGGTTGGTAAAATTTTACGACCAATTGCAAAAGTTCTTCCAGTTTATTCACCAAATAATAGTAATCATGGTTTGTTTCTATCAAGAAAAAATAAATTTTTTCAATTAATTTCTTTCTTTCTTTCTTTCTTAGTAACTAGTCCATCATCAACTATAACAACAAGTCCAATAAATGATGAAATAACTAAATCAATGACTGTTAATTTTCAACAACGTCCATCGACAGCACATGGTCCAATGATTTATCGAATGACATCGGTGAATCCGAGTATGTTTAAAAAGAAAAGATTGTAAATAAAATATATCGATTTATTTATAGATGTGCCTGTTTTTCGTGTACGTGCTACAACTACTCCAACATCTTCAACAATGAAAACTGATACGAAACCAATATCAGTTACAACTGCTACAAGCATGTGTTATGAACCTAAACAGACACATAATACAACGACAACAGGTGGATCTGTTTCTGTACTTGCTTGCTTCAAAACGACAAAAAAAAGAAATAAGGTGTGTGCCATTTACATACTATTTTATTATAAATATAGAAATACATATGTATACAAAATCGATAGAGATAAAATCAGTAATTGAAAGATTTATTGTTTGTAAGTTAATATATGAAAAATTATAATATGATTTCTATGTTAAATTTAAAAACTATGTGACCTATTTTATCGATATCACTCTGTTATTGACTACCTTTTATGACACTATCGAAAAAATAAACATTGCTAAGTTTTGACTAATTAAAAGATTTTGATTTTATAGAACATGATTTGAATTTTGTTTTTTAGGAACGAGCGATTATGCCACGTCCAAGTCCAACAGATTCTGTCGACACATCCCATGATTTACAACAACGATTGACAACTACAACAAATAATACTTCATCAATACCGGCAACGAACGTGCCTTTAATCATAAACAATCATACAGCAACAGATAATGTAGCAAATAATAATAATTCATCACTTTTTCCATCGACATCAACACATCTTATACAACAACATAATTTATCAACAACATTATCTGATAAAAAACCATCAAATATACATTTAATATCAAGACAACAACATGATAATTCAACAATATCATCGAATGATTTAAATATATCATCTCCGAATAGTATATCAATACATCGTAATAATCCAATACAATTAAATAATAATCCAAGTTCACTTAAAACAATAACAACTCCATTAATATCACCAATACAACAAACATTACGTACGACATCAAATAGTCGACCATTAATGAAAGATAAATCTATTCAATGTATTGATGATAATGAGAACAGTACAGGAGATGATGAACAAATTACAAAAAGTAACTTTTTTATCAATCAAATAAATTTATTTTCTATTTTTTGTTTTACTAGATAATATATCAAAGAAAAGAAATGGACATTCGCATGAGAATAGTTCATCTAGTGATGAAAGTTGGACAGTAGCAGCAGACACGTAAATACCTTTATATATTTTTTCTTTCTTTTCTATTAAAATTTTATTTTTAGTCTTCTTCGTAATGTTCTTTCACAATATGGTTTTCGTTTTCTTGATGTAAATTGTCAACAAAATTTATCAACTAGATTTGATACTATTCAAGCTAATCTTGTTGTAAGTTAATACTAAATCATTGAAATTGAGATATTTACTAATGACAACTATAGTTTTTGCTTAATACGTTCTCTTGTCAGAAAATAAGATTGACGTTTTTATGAGTCATTCAAGGATTATACAAAAACCTTGAATGTTTGCCACAGGTCATGATGAAACTAGGTCAGCATGCTTTTTTCACCTTTTATTCTATTGTTTGTAATCACACTGGATTACTTTTTTGTCTCTAATCTTGTATCAGATCTTCTATGTTGACCGACAATGGAAGGGTTTGTGTTGTTAGTAAAGGATCGTATATATAGTCAGTTGGCTTGTCTAGAGGGAGATATTCGAATTTTAAGGTATTTTCAGCATTTGTAATGTGTCCACAAGCGAAAATTTAGAAGAATTTTTTCGTGATGGATGAATAGAACTCGTCAAGTTGCGTAGGAAAAAATACATTTCAAATTTTAAAAACATATTTTACGAAGACTCCAAGATACCATTATTGTTGACTGTAAGGAAACTAGACCAAAAATTCGGACTTCCGTAAAATATGTTTTTAAGATTTGAAATGTACTTATTCTTATGTAACTCGACGAGCTCTATTCAACCAACGCGAAATTTTTTTGTTTGTGGACACATTACATATGCTGAAAATACCTTAAAATTCGAATATCTCCCTGTAGACAAGCCAACAGCAGCTAATATTTGAACCTTATCAGTTTGGCGGTGAGAGCATAAGATTCGTTACTAACAACACAGACCCTTCCATTGTCAGTCAAGTTCACCTATGATAAATTAATACGAAAATGTTTATGTCTATTTAGAGTGGTATGATATTATCAAAAGATGAATTTTATAAATCTATTCTTGATATAAAAGAAACATTACTCAAAAGTGATTTATCAAAAATATCTGCTGATAATCTTGAAAAATTATTTAATTATTTTGAAGTTGAATATCCAAAAATATGTGATGGTGATTCAATACTTCGAACAAATGATCGAGTAAATTAATAAATAGAAAATTTATTTGCACCATTTGTTTTTATTTTCTTTAGAAACGAACACGACGACAATAGAAAAATGACTATGTCGAATTTTCTTCTGTTTTGTTTCTTTTTTTTAGTGTTTCACTTCTCACCCCTATGTAAATATGCATCTTTTGCCTTGATAAAAAAAACTGCTACTTTCTATTCGTTTTTCCGTTACTGTTTTGTTTTTCGGTTAAAAGATCGTACGATAGAACTTGCAATATATATTACATCCACACAAACAACAGAAGCAACATAAATATCAGTTTATATTCTTTCATATAAAGAAAAAAAAATGCATTAAATTATTGATTTGTATCTTGTGACTGATATTTAATTGTTGTTTTTTTCGAGAAAACAAAAATTAACGATCAACCGTGAGAGAGATGTGATGCCATGTCTTGTTCTCTCTTAATATATATGTATTATTTTATCATGTTTTCTTTCTTTCTTTTTTTTCTCTTTTCGTTTTGTTTTTTTTTCTTCTCGACTTGTTGTTCATGCGAGAGATAAAAGATCTATTTATCATTTTCACCCATCATATAGTTGTGCATACATGATGTGTTTATTTAAAAAATAAAACAAAAAAAAAAGAACGGAAAAGAAGTGAAAAAAATGTTTATTGTTTTGATAGCATTTCTAGATGAATCTTTCATACAATGCCTAAAGGTTCAGAAACAACAATTAAAGAATGTCATGATTGTGGACATACTGGTAAGTTATTTTATCTAAGATGTAAATTACTAACAAGCATGTTTGAAATGATCATTTTTGTAATTAAACTAATTCTATTTCACATCTCAATTAAAGGTCCTGAATGGTGCTCACTCAATCATGGTGTACTATTATGTGATGAATGTTGTAGTGTTCATTTAAGTCTTGGTCGACATATATCTCAAATAAAATCTTTTAAACGAAGTTATTGGCCACCGAGTCAATTAAATGTAAGTTAAAAAAATCGTTTCTTTTGAGTTTTATTTATGAATTTTTGTTTTAGTTAATATATGAATTAAGTTCTAATGGTGCTAATCTTGTTTGGGAATATGGTTTACTTGATCCACAAAATAAAGTACCAAGAAAAAAACCATCAGCTAAAGATTCATTACCGTAAGATAAGAAAAGATATTCTCTTTCTCGTAGAGAAGAGTCTTGTAAACATAAATTGTTTGGTTGTGTGTCCGCAGGGTAAAAAAAAACGTTGAAAATCGTTTTCTTGAAAAACACATTTCTAGAGATTTTTCGATGCGGGGAGTTCGAATTTGAGATCTGTTGGGTGACTATGGTTAGGGGAGTGAGTGAGAGGTCGAAAAACTTATTTTTCACGATTTTCAATTGTTTTTTCAGTAAATGTGAAGAAGATGCATTTCTACGAGAAAGAGCTAAGCGAGTCCTCGGATGAGCGTTACTTGTATATTTAAATTCAATAATTTATTTGATTCATTCTAGAGTAAAAGCAGATTTTATTCGAACAAAATATCAACAAATGGCATATATAAATCGTTTAAAAGATGAAACAAATGGAACATTTGAAGATTTACATTTAGTATAAATCATTTTCTTTTTTTGTTAATTTAACACTAAATTTCTGTTCTTTTTTTAAAGCAATTACATTCCATTGCACGTACAGATAATATTGTGACATGTTTAAGATTTTTATCTCAAGGTGCTGATCCAAATTTTAAAAATCCAGTAAATTAAAAAAAAATTAAATTCAATAGGAAATTTTATATTCTTATTTCATAGGAAACTGGTACTTCATCTGTTCATGTTGCAGCAAGTCGAGGTCAACTCAATCAAATTGAAGTAATATTTTCTATTCATTTTTTTTTCGATTCATTTTCAAAATTTATATTTTTAGCTTCTTTGTATATTTGGTGGTGATCCAGCAGCTACTGATAATGCAGGAGTATCACCAGAAGAACATGCAAGGTAGATTTTTCAAAGATTTATTATTGTTTCTCATAATTGGTTTTTATTTTCAGAGCAAATGGATATTCTGATTTAGCTGATCGATTAGTTGAACTTCAATATGAATTAACTGATCGTTTGACTTGTTTTATCGGTGGTAAACGACCTGATCATAAAATTGGATTACATATTAATCTTCCTGAACTTAATGAAAAGTATATTGAATAAATAAGAAAAATTATTATCCTATTTTATCTTCTATTTATAATAGCCTTGACATATCGGACCAAGCACTTATTGCAAGAAAAAAACTTCAACAAGTAAAGGATTATTATTATTAATAATAATATAAACTAATTTATATATATTAGTTACCTGATCAACTCTTTGAAGATCTTGCTATGGATGTATTTGATGAAGTTGAACGAAGAGAATCGAATACAAGTAAGAATAACATGTTGTCTTTTTTCAATCTACTATCTACTTGATAATATAATCTAGCTTGGCATGCACAAGTGGATAAAGCATTGATTCCTTTGCATGTTGTACCATTTCTACCTGTTAATCCTGCATTTTCAGCAACACGAAATCAGGTAAGAGATATTTACTATTGAATAAGAAAAATGTTAGCATCAAATTAATAACTGCGATACTTTTTCCCTGATATAATTAAATCAAAATTTTCGTCTTTAACAACTTTTTATATATCTAGGGTCGTCAAAAATTAGCTCGCTATGGTCCAAAAGAATTTACTACTTTCATCTACGACATATTAAATGAAGTTCGTCGACGATATCATGGTATTGTACAACAATCACCTGTCTCGCCAGTATCAACATCGAAATGTATATAAATCCAATAAAATGAAACTTTCTTTTCTTATTTTTCTTATTTAAATAGTTCATACATTACCACGACAACATAATCAAACAAATATGACAAATAATAATGCTTCAATTTCGACTCAAGATATGTTACATGCAAATGGTCCATCAGCAATGTCATCAACAGCTGCATTAATAAATGCATTTATTGATTCTGATGATGAACCACTTTATGATAAAGTTGCATCAGATGAAGATTATAGTAGTTTACCACCTAATGAACAACAAAAACGTAATAAAATACATAAAAAACCAAAAAAAGTAAATACTTTTAAAAAATGAAATTCAAAAAATATTTCGATATTTTTTAAAATTTTAGCCATTAACATTTGATCCATTAAAAGAACATTTCACGAATGGTTCATTACAATCACCAACTGAGGTAAATCATATTCTATATTAATAACAAAATTAATGTAATTTTCTTTTTATTAGAGTTTAAATTTATCGGAAATTTCAAATGAAGAAACATCACGAAATAATCGTTCACATGATTTAAAATCACGTGTTGCAAATACTGAACTTCAATTGAAATATTTAGCATGTGCTCATATTGATTTAAAAAATGAACTAGCTGTTCTACATCAAATGGTAAAAGAAAATTCATATTCTATATATAGTCTTTATTTATTTTTGTTATATATAATCATAGATTCAACGATTACTTGATGAAAGTCTTTTGAATAAAGTCGATTTGCAAGTATCAAATGATATATTCACAAATAATAATAATAACATATCTTGTTCACATACGGAAATTCATACATCAACATTAATGAATGGTGATGATTCAAATAGAATTATTAATAAAGTAAATTATTATTTAATAGAGTATTCAACAGCATTGAGAGAAATTAAAATAGTAAACTTATGGGTTTAGAAGATACTCATGAGAGCAAGCACAGCCTTCTCTAACTTTTATCAAGCTGATAGAATTGATGAAGCCATGATTTTCCCTTTATATAAACAAATATGGTAGTGTTCGACGCTATCGATCGAGTAGGTGTGAAACGAGGAATACTTTTGATAAGTTGCAGCATGTTTACTTTTTTAAAACTCGGAAAAAGAGAAAGCATTATGTCATTTGCAATTCCTATTTCATTTATACTAGTTTCAACAACGACGGATATTCTGTATTCAAAATAGAAGATTGAACAGAGTGTTGTCATAACTGTAGCATTAAAAGTTAACCGATACATCAGTTGACTCGGATAATTAGTGTTATTACTGCAGACGAGAGAAGAATTCAATTTTTAATATTTAATACATTTTTAAGCAGTTAATGTACGAAAACAGATAGCATATACTGATCCTTTTAGTTAAATAAATTTGAAAATTTATAACTTATTAAATCTTGTTTAGTCAATACAACAATTATTTGACAATCATAGTCGACAATCAAGTCCAATTGTTGAAAGTGATTATGATAATACAACTATTGTTGAAGATCCTGAAAAGTAAATAAACTATTCAGTTTTTTTGATTATTTAATTAACTCTTACAAAACAACTCTAGTCCATCGTCAAATGGAATTCGACAAATATCATATGGTCATGAAAAACGGTATTTTATTAAATTAGAATTTTTGAATTTATTATCAAAATTGAATTATTGTTTAGATCCAGTCGTAGTATGCAACGATTTCCACAAATAGAAGAAGATTCAGGCAATGTATTGAATCATTCTCGACCATTTCGATCAACAGATTATATAAATACAAATATCGAAGTACCAATAACAAAATCTCCAACAAATCCATCACAAAAATTGACAACTCCAACAAGTAATGGTCGAGCTCGATCATGTTCAGGCGGACGAAATAAAGTCGTATCACCTACAGGTTCATCACGAAAAGGTTCGTTTAATAAACTAGATATAAATAAAAACACATTTGAATGTAAACATTTTTAGGATCATGTGGACAAACAGAATCAAATGGTGATATTGATAAACGAACAAGAAAAATAACTCATCGTATTGCTGAATTATTTAGTTTAATCAAAGAAAATCAATCGGATCGGTACATATTTCACGAAATATATATATAAATATATTGATTATTAGAATTTCTTTTTTAAATAGATACATCACATGTGCAGAACGAATCAATAATTCTGTTCAAGATATGATTCATCTATTTGATAGAGTATGTATATTTATCTTTTAAATATATATTTTTGATCGTACTAACTGAGATGAAACATAAAAGCAATTTATTCGATAAAGATCTTGATCGATGTTTATATATACTGACATTTTAATTACACATGTATTAAAATCTTGAGAAATAATGACGAGCTTTTTCTTATTGTTAATATCTGATAGAATGACTTTGATAATTTTCTATTGTCATGATCGATAATATTTAGTAGTAGACTGATTAAATCGATTTCATTCGTCAGATTTATTACTAGTTTGATCATTCGGATTGGATTTTGTCGGTCGATCAGATTCAGTATGAAATTTATTCATCTTGTTTTATGTATATATATCTGCCGTTACTATAAATAATTCATTTTCTTTAGAGTAGGTAGTTATAATAAAAGAAACTGAATTTCTTAGAACTCTTCAATGTAATTCTGTATTTTAATTTATCAAGATAAGAAGTATATATATATATGATAGAAGGATAGGTTTTGCATTGTAAATTTTACTCATTTTTTAATGATTTGAATGAGGAGAGCAAATCCGTGATATTGATCAAGATCTTTATAATATATACGCTTTTTAAACTAGTTTGTAGTATAGTAATGACTTAGATGTTTCCGGAAGTCGTTTTTCCGATTCTATATCATTTGGATAAGAATACTACGAATTTCTTACAAAACAAGTTTTTGACATATAATTTTTAGTATAAGAGAATCTTAATTGATAGCTTTCACTTGTGAATTATCAAAGGGCATATACAACAAAATATTTTATTCCGTTAGTAAATATATTAATGAATGCCTGACAACATTCTGTAGAAATAATATAGTAAGAATAAACCCTCGTCAACACAAGTAGATATCATGAAATATGTCAGCAAATATCTTGCTCCAATTGTCTTATTAAATTAACACTTCTAATCTAACTGAGATTTTTATTATCTTAACACGGTCGTTCGAGAAAGCAGCTAGTAATATTATATCTGTTATCATTCTTTCTATGTTTTTTAACCGAAACTTAAGGAATGTATTTTATATTTTTAGCTATCATTAACTGAAGAAATACGAACAAATCTAGACATGTTAAATTCAAGTGCTCAACAACTTCTTGCTCATGCAACAATAAAAGAAAAACTTTCTCCAACACATAATACAAATCGAACAGAACAAATTCAATATATAATTGATGATTGTTATAATATTGCATTAGCTACAAAAAGTCTTGTTGGACTTTATCAAAAATTATAATTCATTTGTATAGTAATAAATTTAATCAAAATAAAATCTTCCTTTCTTTCTTTCTTTTTTTTGTTGTCTAATGATAATATTTGTCTAGTATTATTTGTTCGTCTTTCATTTATTTCAACAAGAAATTAATCATTTCTCTTTTTTTTCATAAATGTTTATTTATGCTTTGCGATATAACCATTTATGCAATATAATCAAATCTAAACTGTGTTTTTCTTAAATTTTACTAACTTCTAACTCAGGTGTATTATGCTATCTCCGAAATAAATTATGGGCAATCTCATTAAATCATATTTACTCGTTCGTGTTTTCTTTTTCTATAAGTTCGTGCTTGTATATTCTTTTTTTTCTACACTTTTTTTAAAATAAATATCATAGTGGTATTAAATAGAATTTAATTTATAAGTTTTAAATACTTTATAATGTCATAAAAGTCATTTTTAAGCGAGTATGACTTTAATAATATTACAACGCATGATTTTTAGTTTTTTATAACATCATGACATACACATACATCATGCGTTCTTATCTCGTGCGTCATTTTTTTCCAAGAATGTTCGAGAAGATTCTTTGTTCTTTTGAACTTATTAGCTTTGTTATTATAAGAAATTTGTAGGAAAAGTCATGAAAACAATATGTATATGTATAGTAACAATCAGGAGAAAAATCCAACATATTGTAAAATACTAATAAAAATTGCATTTATCATTTTTCCTTCTGTTACTGTATTTGTTTATCATTATATTTGAAATATTTTTTTCAATCAAATAGCTATTCTGTTGACGTTAAATATCAAACTAATTGCAAAAAACGAAAAGCATATTTAATTGCTCTAATGATGAATAAAAATACTAATTATTTCGTTTTAATTTATATCTTTGCTATGAATATAAAAAGAAAAAAAAACTTTTTTTTTCAAATAGAACATATATATTTTACTTTAACAAACACAAAAAAGAAAAGAAAGAAAAACGATAGAAAACTTTCAAACTATGTTGAAGAAACATTGACTTAATGAACAATCTGACTTAAGTCACAAAGTATCGCAAAAGCCATAATAATCGACAACATAGGAAAGACTGCGCATATAGAAAAAATGAATAAATAATTAAAGGAAGACAAATGGCACACAGGAGAAGAACAAGAACAAAAAAAAAAAAAGAAAACTAAATCGCGAGATCGAAAAATAATAAAAACGAAAAATTATTTATTCTATTTATTTTCTTTTTTTTCCTCATTCATTTTCGAAATCAATATATCACAATTGATTGAGAAAAAAAAACATAAATTAAACCGAATTTTTCACTGTTATATTATCGATCAGGCGAAAAGAACAAAAAACAAGAACTAGTTCTATTTGTTGAGTCAATATATTGAATAAACAAAAAAAAAAACGACTAGAAATGACTCTTGTTGTTGTTCTCAATTAAACACGTACATATGTATATATATATATACGAAAAAACACAAACATCTATTGCAAGAACCTGATTACAAGAAAGAGAAAGAATCACCGTCCTCGTCATTGACAGAGAGACTCAATCGTATGTACAAAATACTACTTTGCTATGCTCAAATACATACATATTTAGAAAGAGATTGCATAAGAGACAAAGCATTCCTGTACAAATAGAAGAAAGAAAGGTCATTCTCACAAACTTTGTATCTGCTTTCCTTTTCCTAAGCTCTAACAGATATATATGGCGTTGGAAATTTTTCATAGGTTCTTGAAGAAGAAAATGGATTATAAAAACCTCTATTATTATTATTATTATTTCGATAATTTGTTTTACGAAAAGATTTTTGTTTCACAGTTGTTGGTTTTTCATCTTCAACTTCAGTTTCAACTGGAGAATTTTCATCATTTGAGGTTATATACCACGATTCGGGTGGTTTTGGTAATGATGAACATTCTGGTGGATCTGCATATGTAGTCGCATAAAATAATGGCACAGCCGGTAATGAACAGGCTGACATAGCCGTCGGTGAGGTTGTATTAGAATAATGACGATAATATGTACTGGAATTTTTTGTATATGATGATCCCATACTACTATTTGATCGCATACGATTGGAATTAGAAACAGGTATGGCATAAGAATTTTTCATACGCTGTTGTTGTTTAATCGGAGATTTTCGGTTATTGTTCATGTTAGTTTATATTCAATGAGATAGATAAGCAAAAAAAAAACAAGAAAATCTAAAAGAAATATATGGGATTTTGAAAAGTAGGCCATGTTAATAATTCCTGTTGATTTTCATGCTAAAGAAAAGGTCACAAGAAGCGAGCTGTCGTTGTATAGAGAAAGAAATGAAATGGAGGAACATATGTAGAGGCAAAAAGAAAACGACGATAGGCAAACAAAAAGCTATTATATATAACACCCCACTATCACACTCATGATTGGTAGAAGAAACGACAGAAGAAGAAAAAAACAGAACGCACAACGACAACCAAGGCAGACTAACGTCAAATCTAACCCTATATGTGCATACAGAGACAAAAAATATCTATGCAGAGGCGTAGAAAGCCCCATCAAAAAAAAAAATTTTCCTCTACACTCACACTCATATTTTCTGACAATTATTGAATGTTTTATTGGCCTTCTTCTATGCAGCTGTCTACTCGAATAAATATATATATATATATATATATTCAAACTTCAGTATGACGAAAAAAGTAGTGAAATTTTCATTAGTCATGTTGACAGCAATATGTTACATCAGAATTTATAACGATAAAAAAAAATTTGTTTATCAAAGTGCGTCATCAGAAAATATGTACTTACAAAGGAAAAATAAAGATGACGATATATGGTTAAAAATATGTTTGTTTATTCGACCGGCATGCATGCAAATAAAAGAGAGTTCATACGAAAAAAAAAGAAAAAGATATGATATTCTCTTATTCACATACGCACGTCTATCATAGGACATATATACAATAAATGAGTTTTTCTTTTTCTCTCTCTCTTTCTCTTTTTCTAATCAAATTGATGCGTGCATATTCACTTACGTCTAAGCATTATAACCCAACGGGCATAGCGAATAAGCAAACGAAGAAAAGAATGCGTCGTTATCGATCGAAATAAGAGATATCACGTGTGTATGTGTGTACATATATGTATCATTGAAAATATTGGAGAAATGTAGTAAAAAGAAAAAGGTGATTTCATTATTTATATAAGAAATAAACAAATTTCTTTTGTGATTAAAATGAAGGTCATTGCTAAGCAACGCTATAAACGACCAAAGAATTCATATGCTTATGTCTGCTTATTACAGCTAAGTGTTGAAGAACTATATAACAGAAAAAGCATCAGTCATGCTAACAAATGGAGGTTTATGGAATACTCGAAAACCACAATTTAGTGCTGAAACATCAAAATTACTTAAGAGTAGAATAAATTAGAATTAATTAAAACTTAAATTAATATGATATTTCGAATTCTTTAGCACTTATGGATGAGTCGCGTGTAAATAATTTTCAACGTCGTCAACTTACAAGTCATATGCTTCGTAGGTGAAAGAAATGAATTTTCATATTCAATATTTTTTTTTATTATTTATTTATAGGTGGTGAATCATTACCGGAAAAACTCGGCCCATCATCAACACAAACAAAAGCACCAGTCAATAAACGAGTTGAACAACCTCGACGAACAAGGTAGATATTCCTTATAAACTATAATCTTTGCAATCGTATATTGATTTTAGAACTGCAAATGCATATGGAGTACGTACTTATAATGATATCGTTAATTCCGGTGCTTATATACCTGCTGATTATCAACCGAGACCCATAAGTATGTTCGATAAACAAAACCGAAACTCTTATTCATTATTTAATTTTTGTAGAAGGTCGTACTGAACAAGAAAAAGATCGTTTAGCACATTTCATGGCATATGGAACTGATCCATCAAAAATCACACCTAAATCAGGTCAACGTTCTCCAACACCACCACGTGAACTTGATCGATTTGATGAATGTATGCAAAAAAACTCTTAATTTTATTAAAAAAAAACATTTGCTATAAAATTATTCTAGTGGTACTTGAAATCGAAGAAAGAAAACAATTTCTTGAGCAAATGTCTACAGTTGGCAAAAGAAAAGAATATCAACAAGTCATTTCAAATGAAATTGCTGATGTTAGTTAAACTTCAAATTTCAAATTATCTTATCTTTAAAATTTTCTTTTAATTATAGAAAATACGTGAAATGGAACAAATCGATCGACAACGTTCAAAAGATTTAGAAAAACGTTTAAAGGAACAATCTTAAACAGTCATACATATTATATGTTATGTTTATTCAATTGATTTGATGGAATATGAATAAATACATGATTTGAACAGCGCAATACTTTTTATGATATTTTTTTATACTATAATAGAAACCTACTGAAGTTTATAGAATGATTTAATTTAATCATTAATGACATTGAATCAAAGGTTTCGATGAAAAATAAATTTTGTTTTTTTAACCATTAGATGTTATTATTTCTAATATTTCATTGACATTGATATAAATTACTGTTCTATTGGGTGAGTTAATGTACCATAAATAAGTAATACTAATGTCTTGAAATAGAAACTGAATTTCTTTAATCAATAATTTCCTACTAAATATTCATACTTAATAAAGTATATGAAAAACATTCAATATTGCTTATGAGTACTTTCGATCTATACTGACATTTATTAATTTTATCTATTTTACATTAGACAGATGCATGTGTCAGTTGAGAAGCACGTCGATTAGAATTTGGGTAACATCAGTACGATAAAAATACTCTTACAGTAACGCGAGAGTTAATGCATTTCCATCAGTGTTATTAATATATGACTAACAATGTCATTATTTTTTAATGATCATATTAGTCATAAACATATTACATCATTGCGAGCAAAAACTTATTTGCAGTCACGTTAGCATCGCTTAAAATTATTTCGACTGATTAAACTGTTGAACTCCGAGAGTAATTATAGAGATTTTACTTTAACCTTGTATATTGATGAATTATAACACCATCTATGAAAGAAAAATTTAATTGGTAAATTTTAAAAAACGAATTACCTGATATTTCATTCTAACTAAAAAAGAGAAGTTTTTCCCTATTATTTTAATTCAAATTCGTAGGATCTAAATTTAATCAAATAGAATTTCATATGTCGGATCCAATTGATGATTTAAAATCATTTTTTTCAACAACGAAATCATTAAAAACCAAAGGAAAAGTAATTTATATAAATTCATTTCCTATTGAAATTTATTCCTTTTTTCGTTAGGATTTTTTACAACTTTATAAACAAATAACTGATTATAAGAAAACAAACAAACAACGATCGGATAAACTTAATGAATCTATTATTAAATTTATTCAATTTTCTTGTGATTTAGCCAGGTTGAATATTGAATTTTTTCTTTGTAAAATAAAATATAAATTTTATTTAAATTCAGTAATCAAGAATATAGTTCAATTTGGCAATCACTCGTTGATATAACATCCGATATTGCTAATTCATACGGTTCATTACATTCGGGAAATGATGCACATAATTTTGATGTTTTCTTCAAACCATTACTTCAAGTAAATTAAATTGATTTATCTGACTGTTCATTTCGTTCTAAGAACAGCAAATACAATTAAACGAGATTGATTAACTTGTAATATTATTCGATAAAAACCTTGTTAGCGCAGTCACTTCGGTGTTGAAATGTAGAATTAATATATTCATTACCCTTTGGATTTATCCTTCTCCCCTGGTTAGGAAAAGCACATCGAGTGATCTCCAAGGCATTCATCTTGATTGCTAGCAAATAATTTGTATCTATACACTTTCGACTTTGGCTACCGTAGGAACGGATATTTGGCCTTGAACTTTATAGTATTCTACTAATCGCTAACCCTCTTACTTCCGGTATTGATCTTTGATCCTGACTTACGTGATAGAGTACATATTGGCATCCTTCACCTTCCATCACGTCGTAATGTGTCTGAAACATTTTCTAATAGCCATGGAAATGTACTCATCATCAATTGACTTGAACTACCATGTGGATAGGCCAAAAAATGTCTTAAGAGGTATTCAAGTATATACACAGAATACGAATTGGGTTTTCCTGTTTTACAGTAAAAATCACACACACCAAAATACAGAATTGTAGAAGAAAGAACAATGTGTTTAAATTCAATTCTCTATTGAAACTTCTAGCCTGATTGTAACGACAATAAAGCGATAAATCATGCAAAACTTGTCTTTGTCTTATTTTGTAAAACATAACTTGGTCTACAATTGTAAGGTTTTGATAACCACTTGCCATTTTGAGTGTGCCCTGAAGGCGAAGTTTTCTGAAGTATGCTTGAAAATAGTGAATCTATTATACGTCACTCGCTAAATGAAATATTTTTTATGAGTGATTTATCTACCGCGAGAGCTGAGATGGCGGCGCCCCTCCAAAGAACGATTTTGCCCTCCCGAAAATTACAATTTTTATGCTTATACTATGTATTTGTCCTCTACAAATTAAGTTTTCGCCCTCCCGGACCTTGCTATCGCACTCTCGAAAGGAAAAACCTAGATAAAACACTGATTTGTACAGACACAGTTTTTAAGAGAGTTTTGGTTTTATTCCATTTATTCGATCGTTAATATTGTAATATTTTCTTTTGTCTTGCCTTTTTCTAGGAAATCGATAATGAAGAACATTCAGATCTCTATAAATTTATTGAACGTCTTCTTGCTAAAATGAATCTTGGCTTTAAAATAGCAATCAGCGAAGTTAGTATACAATATTATCTGCTCTATTTTATTTCTGAACATTTATTTTTAGTATTTTCGAAAACTATTTTTCGATGCATTTGCTTCAAATGTAAAACGTAAATTAAAAGAAAGTTATGATTTATTTCGTATTATTCATGTACATATACCAGAAATAATTCCACCTATTTTAACTATGCATCAAACATTTTTAAAAGTAACTATTTATTCACGAATAGTATAATTTCAATATATATTTATTAATTTTCGAAGAATCCAAATCCAGATCAACGTGAAATTGGTATTCGATTTATAGTCGACGTTCTTACAGGAGTATATACTATTAGAGAAGAATTACATACTGATGTTCTCGATGATTTTCGTAAAAGGTAAAATACTCATTCTTTACCATTCCGTTCGAATACAGATTTAATTCTATTTTAGTTTTCATGAAAAAGATAGTGAAGCTCAACGAATTGTCATTGAAAATCTTGCAAAATATCTTCTCCGAAAAACTTATATCACTAATATTCTCATTGGTAAATCTTCTTCACCTTTTTTTGGTTTTTATAAAAAAAAACCCAAAATTCTTTAGATGATTTGAAAAAATGTTTTGATGCTCAAATGATCTCTCCTCAACTTTTATGTGTTCTTGTCGATCAAATAAGTTTAGCAATTAAAGAATGCTATCATGCAACACCAGATTCTCTTCTTAATTTACTTTTTACTGGATGTAATCATTCAACAGTAAAGATAAATCTTCTATCTATTTAGTTTGTAAAACGAATTATCTTCTAGGCAAATGTAGCAATTAATTGTGTAGATACAATTGCATATCTTTATCGTCTTTATTATGTTAAAGATCCATATCCATCACCAACTCGTTCACGTCTTGATGTTGTACCAAGAATTGTACTTCATACAGCAATTAAACATTCTGATTTAATCGTTCGGTAAAATTTGAGTAGAAAATTAATTAAATGTAGATGAAATATTTTAGTATTGAATCTCAAACACGTTTTTTTGAAAATATTATTTTTGAACATTATCGTATTGACGAGCGAACTCGTCAATTTTTTATATTTGCTCAATCCGATCTTGGTGATGAGGGTGTTAAGTAAATAAATTCATTTATTTATTAAACTGAATATATGTTCCTTTTTTATTTCTAGAAATTATGGTCAATTACTTCATATTCAATCTGAGTAATAATAAAAAAAGACGAATTTTTCTTTGAAAGAATTTTATTTGTTTTAGATTACGATTACTTTTGCATAAAGCACTTGTTAAATGTTGTACAACAAGTGAAAAAAGTCTTAGTAAAATGAGTACAAGTGATAATGAAGAGGATTTAACACCTGATCTTGAAGAATTAGATAGTGAAAATGAGGATGAACATTTAAAACTTTCTCATATTTTACAAAAACTTAGTGATTGTATAATTTAAATAATAATTTTTGTTTCTTAATAAAATCTAAAATTAAATTTTTATTTAGTATGTTTTACTCCAAAAGAACATGGTGTAAAAAAATTACGTGAATGGATTATGAAATCCGAACCTAAAGCAAGAGAACAATTACAATCAATGTCATACTTAACTATCGATCAATCAACATTGGTAGATACAACGTTTTCCAAAACAACAAATGTACGTATATTTTTAAAAACATTTTCTTGTTCAATCAATTGTATCGACAGCACACTATTTCATCGTGATCTCAACGATGTATATAAACAGACATCTGCGAATTGATAAAAGTGCAGGGAATGTATTAGCGAAAGTTCATTGGAAACTCGTGAATGGGCTGAAGTACAAGGAATATACTGGCGAAATTTTAGTGGGCGGGAGTTAGAGAGCTGCGGAGGACTCCGAAACCCCATTATGACTCCGTCAGAGTCAGAGCCTGTAAAGCATAATTTTCCGGAGCCGAAGTCGGGTTTCGGGAATCAGAAAAGTTGACTCCGCAGGTCCCTAGTGAGAGCCCAATTTGCGAAATTCCGATAATCCTGTTTACATAAATTGATATTTAGAATAATTCATCCACTCCTTTCAGTTTATTCATAGAGAATGATAGTTGTTTTAATTAAACTGAAACAGAACTATTTTTATTCATATCTTATTTTTGTTCACTTAAATTAATGTATGTTTAGACAACTAATATGGATGATTCAACAGCAACAATTAATGAAGCTGTTCAACTTGTTGAAGATCGTTTAGCTAGTCGTGTATCAATTGTTTTTTCACATGATTTTCTCGAAGAATTTCCTTTATCTGCACAAACTTATTTTAATGAAGGTATATAGATATATCTTAATTTTATATAAATCAATATCAAGATGATTTCTTTAGAAGCATTACTAGAAGAACAAACTGATGATGATAATGATACTGATGATATTGATTCATCTTCTTCGATTTCAACGGATAATCGACAACAAAATGAACAATGTCAACATCGTTGTATTAAACAAATGGGAAAATTAACTAAAGTAAATGAAAATGATTTTTCTTTTGTTATGTATATATATATATTATTTATTTATAAAGGTACTTCGACCATATTTCGAAAGTTCAATGGATGTTGAAATTTTAGAAAAATTTATTGAGATTATCGATGAAAATCGACCTGTACTTAGTAAGTTTATTAGAAATATTTGAATTAATTATTAATATATATATTTAGGTACATTTGTTTTTGGTATCTTAGCTGAATTTGGTGCATTACTTGGTCCAGGTACAATAAAAGCTGCCCTTATTGAGTAATGAATAAAACATTAATGAATTTCGAGAATTATTTGTGTTTTTATTTCTAATAGTCGTCTTGTTGATGTTTTGGTTGATGCTATTAATAAAGGTGATACAACAACAATGGGTAAATGGGCAATGCGTGCACTTGTACCAATTGTTGGATCAAATGAACAACAATTAGAACAAATTATTACACATAGTCTATTTGGCAAAGTAAATCACTTTTGAGAAACCAAGACATACTTTCTCATCTCTCTTATCTAAAATCCGAAACTCAAATACATTTATTTCTAGACAAAAACCTCCTGGTGGTCCACAGATGGTTCTGCATCATCATATCGTTGGTTATTATTAAGTCATATTGTTAAATATGCTCCATCAACACGTACAATGTTTAATATACTTCAACAAATAATCAAAGTTATTTTACGACATTTTCCAAATGTAATCTGATTTTTCTTATGAACAAAAAAACACACATATTTCCTCAAAAATTTTAGAGTAAAAGTTCAACTGAAACTATGAAATCGTTTGATGATGTTTCTGATGATATACAAATGAGAGTAAATATAATAAACTTTGCTTTGAAACCATATTTTCTAAATCTTTTTTTTCTCTAGGCAAATCAATTAAAATTTCTTTCACGTTCAGCAAATTGTATTCGTATACAACGTCATGGAAATTCACTTTTGGATGATAATGATGATGATGATAATGAAGATGCTGATGATGAAGATCGTATTGATACAATTAATTTACTTATGAAATTTTTACTTAAATTAATTAAAGATGTTTTTATGTTTCCAAAAAATGAGTTAGTTGAAAAGAGAATTTCTTTTATAGAATTTTATGGTTTTTGTTTTGAAAGAATTGGTCGACATTATTTACAATTACAAGCATCATTTGAAGTACTTCGTATATTAGAAATTTCTGAAGTTTTTCATAGTTTTTCACCAACAAATTATGTTGAATTATTTGCTGCAGCAACGGTTCGATTATTTTTATTCAAAAACAAAAACAACAATTATTTATTTTATATTTAGCATCAAAATATTCATGTTCGTCATCGTTTTCTTCAACGTATTTTAAATAAAGTAGCACAATGGAAATTATCAGTTTTATTTCTTGGTTTTACTATTGCTGTACCAAATGATGATGAAGATTTTACAACAGGAAAAAATCTTAAATCAGTTATGGAACGTTTATATTCATTAGCTTCAAAAGGATCAGGTATGAATTCTAAAACAAAAAAATATGTATATATATTCACAGTTGACAAAGTGATATTCGAGATATTAGATGAAGTATGTTTTATATTTAAAAAAAATAATTATATCCTTGCATTTTTATCAATAAAGCAAATAAACGATCAATTTCTGTATATTATATGACATGTCATCGTATGACAAGTGCCATATCCTATTTGTTAATTGCTATTCATTTCTATTCCATTAGTAATACTAGATATCTGTTTATCGTTAGTGTCTGTAAACTATATAACTCTTACTTGCTTTCTTAGTTTTTACAACAAGCTAATTAAGTCTTTGTCAAATCATTGCTAATAAATATTTATAGCTTTCAAATTTTGATTACAAGATGATTGACTCGAAGATTTAAATCAAAACTTTTCCAAAGAGATTATGATATTGATCTATGCTCATAGTAATTCAATTAGAGTTTTTAAATATAATCAATATATGACTTTAAATGACATGTCAGTAGTAATTAACTATGAAAATGAAAAAGAAAAACGTTCCCGCACACTTTAACTACTTAGTAATGAATTTCATCATATCAATAATTAGTTTAAACATAGTGGTTACCGCATGGACAAAACGTCGCAGGCATGTGGCTCAGTGAGGGTGTATCGACGATCCGCATTCCACGTACATACACTGTCCAACATTAAAGGTTTACTAGTAATTCGTTTTGAACCATAAAATGAGCTGCGACGTCCTGTCCTAGCGCCAAATTAATTCAGATTGTTTCGAACAATCTCGAATCATTATAAAGTTATTTTACTAGTGGTTCAGAATCAAAGATTCTTCTTTTTATTTAGTTGAAGCTATGCAACGTTTATTACCAGAAAAAAGTATTTCATTAATGATTTATTTACATGCTAATAATCGAAGTCTTGTTTTTGAAATTGATCGAGAAGTTCTGGAATCAATTACAAAGTAAATTTTTTTATTATTTTCTTTTCTACTTATCTTGGTTAAAATATTTAGTTCTGTTAAATGGAGTTTACGTACAATTGTACAAGCACGTGAAAAAACTGATAAACGATTTCATGGTGCTATACCAAAGTTACTTCATTCAATAAAACATAGTCGTTCAAAAGCTGATCCACTTGATGATAATCTTCATCATGTAATGACAAAATTTGATTTTTCTCTTTTTAATATTATTCTTTTTGTTTCTTCTTGATTTAGCGTATTTATTTAGTTGTCGATATATTTCAATCAATATTTGCTGATTTATCTCCACTTGAAGCTTATGATTTTGCTGATACACGTAATAATTTATCTGGTGAACCACTTCTTTTTACACAACCAGATTTTGTATGTTAAATTTTTTATTATTTTGAAATTTTATTATTTTTCTTTTGTCTAGACAAATTTAAATACAAAATCTTATTTACCTGATTTTTATAAAGAAAAGAAAGTAACAAAACGTTCGAAAAAAGATATAACTATGATATCTGATAATGAACATACCGATAATGAAAGTGAATATAGTGAAATGGCTATAACACCAACAACAACAATAGCTGCTGATGATGAAGATGATGATGAAGATAAGAAAAAGAAAAAGAAAAATTTACCAAATAAAAAACGACAACGAAATCGTGCTATGGAACCACCATCAAGTTCAAGTGAAACAATCGATGATGAAGAAGACAAACAAATGCAACAAGAAGAAAAAGAAAATGAAAAAAAAACGTTTGTTTTTAATAGTTTTAACTTCTTTGTTATTTTTTTAATATTTCGTTTTATTTTTTTAATTTTTAGTCGAAAACGTAAAGTTTCATCATCAGCTCGGTAGGTACCAAATTTAATTTATTTTCAAATTCAGTCTTTTCTTTAAAACATATTTGAGTATTAAATACGATAGAATTTAATGAGTATTATGTATTGTTAGGTTAAAACGCTCACAATTTATTTTTAATCTGAAGATGACAATAAAATTCATATGTCATTAACTAACACTTCAATATTTAATTACCTTCATCCTAATCGTGCTATGTTTCTTTTTTAGGTCAACAAAACGACTTTCAAAATAATATTAATTTCATTGCATATAATCAAATGTATATAATCATGAAAAACTAGTCCAGATATCTCGGTGCTCTTATTGAATATGTTTCTCCTTCTTACTATTATTATTTTTTGTCCGATCACAATTGTTATTTGTTTGTTTGTTTATTTGTCTCTTATTATTTTTTTTCTTGCTTATTGAACAAAAACAAAGTCAAATAAATTTAAGAAAAATAAATACGATTAATATTATAAAATGGAATAGTTAATGACTATATGTTGAACATACTTGAAAGCAAATAAAAAAAAAGAAAGAAAAGAAAAGAACGATCAGTGTGATTTATCAATTTATGGAAGCACATCATTGCCTATTGGCTATATAGGAGTACATTGCATGGCCGTTACCCGTAGGGTATACTCGATTGCAAATGGATCATTATCGGCATGCATTTCTTTTTTTTTTTGCCTGATGCTTTAGTTAAAATGCTCTTGTGTGTCGAATTTAATACTGTATATATATATGTATGTTGATTCATGTGATTTTCATTTTCTTCTCGTTTTTTTTACTCGCTTCATTTGTTAAGGATATGTTTGGAATGAATGAAAATTTCTATTTACGTATCTTGATTAAACAATATTTAGTAATCAAGATAAGAAGCTCTGTTATAATAGACTATTCTACACTCGTTTAACTATTTTCTTCTATTGTCATTGTTATGTACGTGATCTATCTCTTTTTCTTTGCTTTGCTATTGCATGTCATCATCATCATCACATGCCATACACATACATACATACATACATATATATACGAACAGACTGACTCATTATTTGAATGAATGTTAATCATTTTCATCTTGATCATCGCCGCAGGCGGTAGTCAGTCAGTTGATAGGAGTGAAACATATTATACACATTCATTTATCTACATTGCTTTTTTTTCTTCTTTTTAAATGTATGAATGTTTAATCGTCATCAACATCGTTTCTCCACCTGTTCATCCATATTGACGTAAGCGATGAAAAGAATCTATTTTATTGATCATCATTCGTCTTAACTATATTTCTTTTTTTTTCTCCTCTCTGTCTCTCTCTCTCTCTTACATACGACATGTAAATTGATAAGATCAGTCATGATGACGAATAACTCGTTTCTTCTATATTATTTATAATTACTAATTAAACACAATTATAAAGGTGTGTCTAATTAAATGACTTGAGAATAGATCAAAATACTGTTGATTAGTAACAGTGAGTCGAATTCGATTTATATCATTTAGTCAACAGAAAGATAATGAACGAATGAACTATTCGATGACAAGAGACAACAACTCTCTTGAGTATCAAAAAAAAAAAAAAAAAAAAAAAGAAAAGAAATAGAGAGAGACCGAATGGAGAAACAGTAGCAATTAACTTTGCATTTCCAGTGTGAACTCTTGTTCGTTCTCTTCTTTTTCTTTTACTCGTTCTGAGTAGCGTGTGTTATGTTGAAGTACTCGTCTTGATCAGATTCAATTGTATGACGACGATGACGATGACGACAACTAGTTTACTTTGTCTTCTCTCATTTTTTTCTTCTCTCTCTCCCTTAGTCTTCTTGTGTGTGTGCAAAGATCATATTATCTTGCGTACATACTTGTAAATAGACACACATATTGTAAAAATGAAAGATTAGTATTAACTAACTACGTGTTTCCGTCGATTATCTTTTTATTTTATTTTATAGAAATTTATGAGTTATGACGAAATAAAAAGGAGTAAAATTTGATTAATTGCAATGAAAAGCACATCTTCCTATCACATATGCTACACGCATAACTCATATTTCATTAAATCTTCATTTATCCACATACATAGAGTTCTTTTTCTATTACATGTCATAAAAATGATGACAAACAAACGCGCGCGTATTGCTTCCTGTGTCTTCTTTTTTATTCTCCCTTCGTTTTTCTTCTTCTTCTTCTTCTTCTTTTCTCGTGATGTAAAATGATAGAGATGACCGAGAAAAAAACGATAACGATGACAAGACATTATGTACATCGTAACTAACAATTAATTGTTGCTGTTGAAATTTACTTGACTACTTTCTATCACCTGTTTATCTTTCCTTGTGTCAATATTTTCTTCTCTTTTTCTTTATCGATGAAAAGGCACTACTACATACTCTTGTACAAACATACATATAAAATAACGATTGTGCAATACATACACATACAATCTTCTTTAATACCTCACCATCACTATTATTCGATACGTTAGCATGTATGTATAGCTTCTTTCCCAAGGCTATAAGCAAATGATAACTAATTTCTTTGATATTCGAATCATGTCTCTTGAGAATTATTTGTGCTTGTCTATCAATCGTCTTAAAGGGCATGCACGTAATGATTACTTGATGAAAACTAACTGTTTTTATTCGAATCAGACGCTACCTATTGTTTAATTGTATATGTATATATATATATATATATATATGTGTGTGTGTGCATACGTATATTATTTTGTGTATGAAAAGAAAAAATTTGTTGTTAAATTAAATAAAACCTCGTCGTCTTTACTTCAACACGTATGTGTCTATGTCGTTTATCATCAATATATATATATGCGTGACAAGAAGTGTCAATTACCTTTTGAGTATGAAATGATATGACTCTCTTGAGTAGAAGCAATAGTAGTAGTAATAGTATCATCATTACTATCTGTTTGTTGACATCACACCGTTTGTTTTTCTCTATTTATTCGTTTGGTTTTGATCTCAATCCTTGTCTTTATCCGTTGTCGTCTCTCGCAATATGTTTACCCATATATATATGTATGTGTATATATATATATATATACGCTCGCGCTCGTTTTCTTTCTTTTCAATGATTCTGTTCTGTCTAATAGCAATAGAGTGAAGAAGGATGGTAGTACACAAACGCATCGTCGTTTTTTCTTCTTCTTCTTCTTCTTTTAACATGATGTATTATTTCTTGTCTCTTATTCATATATGTTTTATTTTTGATCTTAAAGACTAAGATATGTTCGCTGTTTGAACAATGAAATAAAACTATAAACGTGTAATTGATGATGGACAATGATAATTTTGTATGCGCATGTCGTTTACTTCTATCTCTTTTCTTCCTTCTTTGTTTGACAATAATAGAAAGTTATTTCAAACTAAAGAAACAAGTGAATGTATACGCGTGACGTCGAAGAATAACAATATATATATATAGCTATATATATATATATATATGTTCTTTTGAGCGGAAAAATAGTGTTAGTCGTTGTTAGATAGAATAACTAGATGAAAACAGTTTGTTTACTGCGGAAGGCTGTTGTAATTAGCGCTTACGCGCGAGTGTCATTGACATGAAAAGATCAACAATATCGGTATGTCTGATGTTTGTTGCTCAGTTTGACAAAGAAACTCCCTACGGCCTAGTGACTTCTTTCTTATACATTGCCGTACTGCTTCCATCATCTCTTTTCCTTCCCATCAATATGTATACAGTCAATATTTAATCAACCAATTTATCGTGCCTATGAAAAGAAAACTTATAAGACGAAAAGAATAAAATGTCACAAGAGACAGCAGTACTACCACCACTCAAACTAATCCGTTCAATATGTTTTGTGATATAATCGTGAAGACTAGGTGCGTATATTGTTATCGTTACATACATATATATATATATATACGTATGCTATAGTTTTGTCGTTCAAATGACAACATTGATCATATACTTCACCTTGATTTGCATGTACAGGGTTGTTCTATTCGTTCGTTGACATATAGATATATTCATATTTTTTTCTTTCTCGTACATTTTGTAAGTAAAAAAAAAAATTTAGAATAAGAAGAGTAATACATGTTATATTTCGTATGTAATAGTAAAGGATATGATTTAAATTCAATATTTATTCGATGTATACTTATAGCAAAGTTGCGCGACACTATGCCTTTTAACAATAGAGCTTACTAAGAATAGAATAGGGAGTTTTTCATTCTTATTTGTTCATTCCTTCAATATTAAGTGAATTCCCAGTCGTTACGTACTATCGTACACTCGTCGCACTTGATGTCGATTGTTATTCTAATCATTCACGTCGTTTGATGATTTTTTTTTTCTTCGATTTTTTTTTATTACTTATATATTATATGTGCAAGCATTGATTGCAGTAAATGAATGAACGAACAGGAGGAGAAGGAGGTGAGTTCATCGTATATGTATATATACTATCACATGATAGACGACATAAAGGTCTAGCGAATCTGTAATTGTACACACTCAAGTGTTCGACAAGCGTTAAATACGTATGGAAGAAAGAAAGAAAGAGAGCGCAAAGGGCGAGTAGATCTATAAATTATGTTTGTGTTGAAGGAAAAAAGAGAGCAGAAAAAGTGTGTGTGCGTAAAGTGGCTATTCTTTTGCATTAGTGGCGGCGAAAGAGACGCGAAGAGAGAGAGAGGAGAAGAGGAGAAGGGAGAAGAGAAAGTAAAGGCAATCATTTGTACTGTATGTGTGTAAGCGAGTCAGCATGAAAAGTCCAGCTGTTGCTTTTGTATTTGAAAATCATTTTTTTATCATATATTTAATAATTATTTTAGATGATAATTGTTTTTTATCTGATATAATAATGCTTAATTCTCCACTGTTACAAACTGATTCTGATAAACGTTTACGTTCTTCAATAGCCCGAAATCATAAAACTGATTTATTAATAGTTCCAACAACAGAAAAATTAGATGATATAAATAATAATCATTATGATGAACATGAAAATAATTCTATTATTGATTCTAATAAAACAGATGTAGTATTAAATGATAATGAAAATGATTCAACTTTATTGACAACAACAACAACAACAACTGTTGAAGTTAAAGTTAAAACAACAAAAACATCATCACGTAAACGTAAATTAAATGCTATTAATGATATGAATAGTGACAATATTAACAAACAACTACCAGTCACTAAAAAAAAGGTAATATATAAGAAGACAATTGAAGCACGAAAGATAGAAAGGAAATTCAATCTCTATTTCTCTTCCACACACACACACATACGGCATCCCCGAGGGATAATGATATCTTGATGTGTGCGTGTGTATGTTCGCCCTATTTACTTTTCTCCATGAATATATACTCTCGCGCAGCTGCTTTATTTCTTCTTCTTGTCCTGTCCTATGTCTGTCTGCTATTTGTCGTCGTACAATACTTATCTCAAAGAGACAGAATAAATGTGTAAATCTGTCAATTGATTTATTCAAATATTCTTATTGTTTATGTTTTTCTTTTATGCTTTTAAAAGAAAAATCAACGTATGGCAAAAACTGATGATAAAACATCAAATAATAATAAAAAATCGAATTTCAAAACAATTGATCAATCATCTATAACTGATGAATCTTCATTTGGTTCATGTGAACCAGGTACAAGCGTTGTCTTACAAGGAATTGTTTGGAATGAAACTGATAAAGGTAACAAAAAGAAAATAAAAATTTTTCTTTTTCGTTTTTAATGATGTTCTTTAATAGGTGTACTTGTTGTCAATATCACTTGGCGAGGTAAGTCATTTCAATGAAAATAAATCATTATATACATATATATATATATTATGCTTTAAGGCAAAACTTATGTTGGTGCATTGTTAAATACTACTGAGCAGAATTGGGCACCACCACGGTATGTTTATCTTTATAATTGATTGGAAAATTTGTATAATTATTGTTTTTAATAGATATAAATCTGAAGTTCGTTCCACAAAACAAAATCATAATCGTGATCAGCAATTAACTTCCATACCTTCATCACATGATTCAACTGAACGTATTCTACGTAATGGTAAACGTCGAGGATCAAGTACAACAGTAACGCCAAATTCAGCAACAAAAAATAATTCATTTAAAATTCCTGACACACCACCATTACCATCAAAAAATGATGAAACATCATCAATTATTGAAAAATTCATTACACCATCATCGATAAATATTAATGATGAAGATGAAACAAATTCACTAAATGAAGAAAAAAGAAATACTACAATTAGTAACGATAGTAGTGTAGGTGGTGGTAGTGGCAGTGTTGATGATGAAATAGGTGATAATTATTCAAGTCGTAGTATTAGTCCAACAACAAGTGGAACAAGTACATCATCATCATCAAGTCCACCATTATTATCAACTAATACAGAAAATCAATCATTAACAATTCCAGTTGATTTATCAAATTCAAAAACAACAATCAATGTTGAACAAAAAATGAACGATACTTTAATACCATATCATTTTACTAATGATATGGTTAATCCATCTAGTTATTTTTCGTCATTGCATGGATCGACAAATCCATTTACTCTACCATCTTTTAATAAATTACCTTCACAATCATCTACGATGTCTCCTTCATCATCCTATCTACCTATTCCATCACAACTTTATTTTAATTCATTGACATTACCCCATTATTCATCAGTGTCTTCTTTGTCAAAATCATCACACTAGTTTGTATTTATATTTGTTCAGATACTCATTTATCTCTTTCTTTTTCGTTTTTTTTCTTCTTTAAAACATGTATGACAAGGTGCTCTGATGTCTAGTAAAATATGGTTCCTTTTTTTTTTGTTTATTTGCTGTTCTTATTATTGTTTTTGTATATATATTCTTTCATTCAGTTTACCTATTCTAGTCGAATGTTCTATATTCCCAGAGAAAGAGATATAACTTTTATGTAAATTTATTCTCTCTTTCTCCTTTTTTTTCTTCTTTTACTATTACAACTTACTACTATTATTACTGTGTAATCAACACACAAATAATAAAAAAGAAAAACAAAAAGACATCTATATAAATATAAATATATATATATATGCATGACAATAAAGATTGCATGTGCCTCGAGTTCTGTCACTTAACTCATTTCATTTTAGTAAATGATGATGATGATGATGACTATGAAGAAAGAAAAGAATAATTATGATCTTTTTTTTCTTCTTTTCCTTTTTGTTTTTTTTTCTTCTTTATATAGAAATTTGATGTCTTGTTGTGTTTATTCAAGTAGATGAAATTCTTTTTTTTCTTTTGAAATTCTATCAAGCCAGTCAAATCAATTGTATTACTTGCTCACTTTGGTCGATGAGATGATGCATGTCAATTTACAATAAAAGTTTCCTATTATTTTGCAATTTCCGCTTTTATTTCAATTATAATCAATGTTTTTCTTGCTTTTATATGACACTAGATAGTAACAAATAAAATGTGTAGAATATATATATATATATATTTATTCTTTCGATTATAAGGGCAATCAAACTTGAAGTTTCTAACTCATATAAGAGAAAATGTTACATAAATAATAACCATTACTTCCCCCTTTTTTTTTTCTCTTATGTATACAAAACGTAAAGATTCGAAAACATCATTATCGCCATATGACTCGTCACTATTACGATTAATAGACATATTTACTTAGTGCATACACACACACACACATACACACATTGAGACAACGACAAGCACAGAAGTAGTATGAGATTCATTTCATTTTCTTTATATTTGTAAAATTACACCATTGAAATGAAAGAAATCGAGATGTCAATTAAAAAACAAGGTTTCTTTCAATACATTTTAAGGATCTCTTGAAGAAATAAGAGGAAAAAAAGAAAAAAAGACTTGAGTGTTTCTTTGCTGATAGGCATATAGACAAATATAGCTTATCATGGTTAGTGTAACCACGAATTGCCAACATAATCTGAGACATCTTGTTGACAATGTTGGTGATGAGATAGAAATGGGTAAACGAGAAAGTGGGAAAAGGAAGAGAGAGAGGGAAAAAGAGAGAGAGAGAGACAGAGCAATGGCATCTGTAAACCTCGAATCCATTTGTATGCAAGCAAAAAATGTAAGGGAAGAAAAAAGAAAAGCAAACGAGCAAAGAACGTGCGTCCGCCCGAAACTCTTTTAACAACATATAAAGGCGCGTAAGATAGGCATTAAAAAGGCGAGTAAGAGCCTACATTTTTCTTTTTTTTTTCTCGCTTTCTCTTTCTTCGACGAAACCATACGAACGATAGAAAGAAAGAAGAAAAATATCTTTTCTACATCGGCACATTCATTTCTCTGGAGACGAAAAAAAAGAAAAAGAGAAAAAAAAAATACGACACGGCAATCATCACTCTCTATAAGCAAACGCATACACACACACACACACACATACACACAAAGAGAATATATATGTGCAGAACGACAAACGATCTTTTCTCCTTCTTCTTCTTCTTCTTCTCGTCATGTTAATACTTTCTTTGTTCTTCACAAATGTGAAATAGACTGACCCGTCGACAGAAAAAACAGAAAAGAAGGGAAGGGAATAAACTGTAGTAGTAGCAGCAGCAGCAGCAGTAATAGTAGTATGCATATGACTTTCTTCTTCTAATCCAGACCCGTCCTTAATTGCTAATACGTGCGTTATATTCTTTCTCTCTTATGTGCATTTTGTTATTGTTCTTTCTTTCTATAGGGATACCTAATAAACTCAGACATACATATATATATATATATACCATAACTAAATAAGGCAACAACAGCATGAGCTGGTATGTCAAGCGATGAATCTTCTAATTGAACAACGTTCAACAACGATAACGTCGAAATTACAACAACAACAATCGCAATTATCAAATGAAAATGATGTGAATAACAGTTTATCATCATCACCACTTATACTTAAAATAAAACGACAATCAGCAAAACAACAAATTGATTTTAGTTCAACTCCATTACTAATGACTAACGACGATAATAATAATAATAATTCTCGCTTAAATATGAATAATCAACGTTTAAAACGTTCTATTCCTAATTCAACAACACGTCGACCATCATCGCCTGCATTTAATGGTAAACAACAAGTAACAAAACGTTCAATAACAATCGATAATAATAATAATGATTTACCAACTCATATTGATGATATTTCATCAACAAAACGATTTAAACACGATGATTTAAATGTAAGTTTCGTTTTTTTTTATTTTCGATGGTGAAATCAATTATATATATTTATGTAAAAAAAAACAACGTCATTTATTTTTTTTTCGTTTTTCTTTTCTTTAATAGTCATCATCAACTAAAGTGGATGCTAGCGTTGAAACAGTCTCTATTGGTTTAGCTACAGAACCTGATCAACTTGGTCCCTGTGAGCCTGTATGTCTTTTTTCATTAAATCTTCTTTATTTTTACTAATATTTTTCTTTTCGATTAGGGCACAAGTGTTGTTTTAGAAGGCATTGTTTGGAATGAAACTGACAGTGGTAAGCAATCGTTTGTTTGTTAGATTCATTTGTAAATCATAATAACGATAATAATAATAATCATAATCGTACACACCAATGCGTATGCTTTTTTAACATCGGTCATAAATAATCGAACTAAACAGATGTTGCCGTTGCATTTTATATATGCATATATGTGCTCTATTGATGACAGCGATGAAAAGAGAACAAATGAAGTTTCCTTTTTTTTTGTTATTTGCAAGTGTTTCTCGGCTTTCCGCTATATGGCATGTTGTTATAGAACAACTCAAAACATGTTTTATATTTCTCTATGCATTTATATATATATATATATATATATATATATGTGACTGTCAAGTGTATGTCTGCAATCTTATCATCATGTCTTTTGATGACGGACGGAAACTTCTTTTCTTCTTAAAAAGATGAGTTATGCCCGTCGGCAAATTTTCATTTTCCGGCTCGAGTAATACTTGTATCTATTTATATATGAGATATAAAATCAATTAATCATGTACGTTGATATGCATCAATTATTTATGATAAGTAAAACTTCTTCTTCCCTTTTATTTACAATAGATTAGTATTATCTATCTCACCTGTATGTGAAGTTTAGATTATTTTTTCAAGGATTGACCTTGTCAATAAAATAAAAAAGAAATCTTGATTATAGAAGAAGAAGAAATCGAATTTACACGTATTTTTTTTGAATTTAAAGGTGTACTCGTTGTTAATGTAACATGGCGAGGAAAAACCTATGTTGGAACATTACTTGATTCAACACAACAAGATTGGGCTTGTCCTAGGTAAACAATATGAAATTATTATATTTTTTTACCTTTTTAATATTGGTTATTTATCTTTATTAGATTAATATGTGAATCCCCAACTAGCGATTATGATGCTCGTAATAGTAGTAAAACTAGTCGTGCAAAACGTGCTAGTGCCGGTGGAAATAATCGATGTATAAATAATCAATTAACAAATTCATCTCAACAAATATTATCAACTACTCTTTCATCAGGATCTGATGATCGAAAACTTCGAAATAATATTAAATCTAGGCAATCGAAACGAACAAATCTAAATATAATTGATGAAATAGCAACCACACCACAAAATTCTTCACCATTAACATCACCTTTTCCATCAACTACAACATTTTTTCCATCTTCAACTACCGCCGAATCACAATTAATTTCATGTCCGGAATTACAATGTCATAAAAAATTTGTTTCAACAATCGCACTTAATTATCATCTGAGTAATTCACATAAAAAAACGGATTCAAATTTATTTCTATCTATACAACAACCAACAAATACACGAGATGAAGAAGATGTTGCACATATTCTTGCAAATGTTGCTGATTATGTTCGACGGCCATCGCCACGTTCATCACCTGAACATCAACATCAAACAACATTATCATGGCCATGTCCACAAATATCTTCAAATCTTGTTCTTTCATCACCATTAATTAATAATGAACAAACAACCATTCCTTTATCAACAAATCCAACCAGGTTTGTTTTATAAATAGAAGAAAAAAAAACTAATTTTATAACATATTCAGATAGTCAACAATCCCAAGCTTAGAAAAAAACTACTTTCTCTAGAGATCCAAGAGCAATATTTAATTCCTATCTGTTTTTTTTCTTGAGAATAAGTCCTTGACGTTTCGTCTGGAGAAAATAAGCTCATCAAATTAAACCAAACTAATTTCCTGTTTAGATGTATTCTTAATAATAATGAAGGCAATATTGAACACGATGAAGTTAAACCAGCTGATCATTTTTTATTACATATTCAAGATGAACCATCTTCTTCTTCATGGAACAATACTAAACTTGATCATATTAATGATAATAAAAAAACTTTGAAAATTCCTTCACCACCACCATCATTTGTTTCAATTAATTTAACCTCATCTATTCAACCACCACCACCACCACCAACTTCATCATCACCAGCTTATTCTGATATATCAGATGAAGATACAACAATAATGAATGAAAATGAACAAATCTCGCCACCATCAACAATTAATTTATTAACAGCAACAAATGGAAAAATGGATGAAAATGATCAATCAATAGTTCCTAATAATTCATGGACAGCACAAATGCTTCTTCAACAATACGGTTCTTTTATGCAACAACAAACATCGAATCGGTATTAAAACTGTTCAAATGTCTATATATATGAAAATATCTAAAAAAAACTTTTTTTTCTTTTTCTTTTCCTTAAATTAAGTTTGAACAGTAAAACTAATTCAAATGGTACCAGTGATTCCACTGTAAAAAATATTCTTGATTCACGTCGTTTATCAACAACAAAATCATCATCTTCTTCATCTTCAACAAACGATTCAAATGATTATCAAAAACCTCTATATCATTATCATCCAAATGATTCGAAATCAATGATGAATTCATTAACATTACCCAATGAAAATCTTCTTAAACCGTCATCAACAACAACAACAATAATAAATCCACTTGATTATTCATTAAATAATAATATAACTTCATCTTCAATACATCCGTCTCGGTGATGATAGAAAATTTCTATTTTTTCCAAAATATATCGATTGATTTGTTTCAAATTAAAACTTATCGATCAATATCTTTATTTGTACAGCGATTATTCTTTTCTTCTTCTTCTTTCTTTTTTGTATGTTCTATTTGCACAAAGAAAAAACTACGGTGCAGTTTTTTGCACCATCAGTCTTTCACGTTCATTGTTTTGTGCGTGTTGTATTTCGCTTTTTCGTTTTCTTTTTCCTCTTTTTTTTTTGTTTTGCGTGTGTCTGCATTATTCTATGAGATGAAATGACGATATGACAAAACAAGAAGATGATAATGCTTGAAATAGCGTGTACTTCATTCATATGACATCAATAGAAAAAAGAAAAGATCTGATATATGCCAATGACTGATCTATAATAAAACAAAAAAGAAAAAGAAAGAAAGAAAGAAAGAAAGAAAGGCAATGAACGCGATTCTTCTATTATCACAATATTTTGTAATAGAATGGCTTGAAGGACTTTATAGTGAGTTAATTGGTTATCGTATTCCGGAGGGTTTTACTATGCTTTATAATAACATCTAAAGAAGAAAAGTTCTATTTTTCTTGTGCGTTGATTGATGACAAACAGTAATAGTTTTTTTTCCTTTATTGAGAAACTAAGTGATTGGCCGATTGAATGTATGTTTCTCTTTTATTAATTATCATTTAATCTTTTGTCTGAGATACCTAATAACATTTTAAAGTAATTGACTTTAGTAGATTTATAATAAATTGTCAATAGTCTATTTCATATTTAGAGACATTATGTTTTAATTTCTAAATTTGTTGAAAAAAAAAATTTCGCACATTTTTCTTCTCTGCATATATTAAGAAATTTTTTTTATATTTACATTTTGCATTTATTAAATGTTTCTACTTGCTTGAATATTCCTTATATTGTTAGGAGACATTATAAATTCTTCTTTTTATGATTTTTACTGGAATTTCAGCTTTCTATATAATAAAGAAAATTTTCGATGTTGCCATTTGTTATTAATTGTTAAGAATGGAAATCTTAGAAGTGAAAAGACTGTAAATATTTGTTATAAAATAAACATTCTTATTCTCTAGATGAATTAAATTTCATATCGTTTAAAAATTTTATTCTAATTATTTTTAAGTCATATTTCTATTTCATAATAAATTGATGATTTAGATCTTTTTTATTTTTATGTCAAACGACCTATATACAGATCATTGATTATTTTCATTATTTCAACGTTGATTTATAGTTTTTATGACATGGCGAAACGAATTGTAATAGATATAATACGATCAAAGCAAAATATAAGAATTAAATAATAATAGGATCGTTTTGAAAAATTATTTTTAGAAAAGAAATTTATACAAGCGACAAAATATAAATTATATCAGTTTACTGATGTAATAATTGTTTATCATCAAGAAATTATTTTATAACAAAATTCATTTCGATTAAAACTGAAAGTGACAAAAATGATCTTCAGTCTAGTCAAAGAAATTGATCTGAAACGTATATCTATATATATATATTCTTTCTTGTTATGGGAACATTTCTATATTATAAACAAATAAGGCATAATTGAATAAACCATCAATCAGATTTAAAAATATGAGTATTTAATAATTGTCAATTAGAATAAAACTCATGAGAATCAATTACTTCTACAAAACTATATCTTATTTAATCTAAAATGGTGACGTTTTTAATTTCCGCAGTCTATATATATATTCTCAAGTAAAATGAGTACTTCTCTATAAAAATACACTAGAGATGATATATCAACTAACACCAATTATACTATTATATATCATTCCAAATATGGAAATCATTCTGAAAACAAAATTATTTTGTATGTTATACGTGTCATAGTTAAATTATCTTTTAATTGTCCATATGGAGTCCGATATACATTGACAGACACATAACTAATGTTATATCTAGAGAAATCTTTAAAAATTATAGAAACAAAACAAAAGAAATATTATGACATGACATTGATAAATTACGAGTATAAAAGTACTCAGAAGGTGTGGATATTGATTTTATTATATTACTGTCTACATACTCCAAAATGATCTACTGCGAAAAGCATTGGATTTATTAAACTTCAGTGACATTGAATATACTATTGCTGTATATGAAAAAAGTAGACATGGTGTAATATAATATCTGAAAGAGGATTCAATCATATAATATATACATAAGTAATATTACATTTATTCTAGAAAGGATAAGTATAGATCAGAAATTATTTTTCAAACAACGAGAACGGTTTCGTATATTAAGAGAAAATTATAGGGAAAATTTCGAAAAATATTTGTGTTCTCTCGATTTTGTTATTAAAAAAATATCGAATTTTTATTTTTGAAATAAAATCAGATCTTATCAATCTATTGCGTATTCGAAATTCTTTATTTTATTTACTATGTTACACATCAACTACAAGAAGATAGTTATCTTGAAAATTTTATGTTTTAGGAATAAAGATGTATGGATACGAATTATTATCAATTACGAATTCTAAACAATTTTATTATTTAAATAATTTTTTTGATCAGTAAGAACTACTTTTTTACTTTAATACATATTATTTTAACGATTAGTATAAAATTATACAATTTGAGTTAGTTAGAAAATCATAGTGACAAACTAGATCAATATATTGAATAAAATTGTAAAGAAAATATGAAGTAATTTGAAAACATACAAATTTCACATTTAACTTCAAATGTCTTTTCTGCATTATTTACTCTCTCAATAATCGAACAGTATTTGTATGTATTGTTTTACATAGTATCGAATATTTTCAAAAACCTATGTGCCTTTTGATTTTTCTTCCAGTGAAAGGAGTATATATAGAATTTCGACTGGACAGCTCATTTCGGCGTTAGGACAGGACGTTGCATGGACAAAACGAATTGCTAGTAAACCTTTGATCTTAGATAGTGTATCTACGTGGGATGTGGATATTCGATGCACCCTCACCCTCACTGAGTCATACGTCTGCGACGTTTTGTCCATGTGGCCACCCCAATTCCATAAAATTATACAATCATGAGGTGTCATTGTAAGATTCTACGAAAATAAAATCTTTAAAGTATCTCAAAGTACGACTAATCATTACCAATTTCGTTGATCATAACGGAAGAACTAATCATTATGTCATATGTTCTTAGATTATGCTTCATAAAAACTATTGATATATTTTTTTGCCAAAATATTGTCAATATTGATTAATACATCTATCGAATCCCATTGGAATGTGGATAACTGTCTTGATACCATTTTAGGAAGCAAAAATACAATTGATTCATATATACTAAGAGAATAGAAAAATACGATCTGAGGATTATGAGAGTTTTTTATTTAACAAATTATAAATAATTCATCTGTAAAAAACAATAAAAAGAAGTATATCAGATTTATTTTGATACACATTGCTCTTTTTATTATATGACAATATATCTACATCAACTACTTGTTTATGTGTTTGTTTGTGTATAGTCAAAGAATGTCTTTCGGTAAATAGACAGTCACAATTAGTGAGATGATAATAAAAATAGAAAGCGTATGTATCGTAGGCGAGAGAACATAAGAAAGGCCTATAGACAGGCATCACCTGCAGAGAGTCTGTCATTCTTCTTTTTCTTTTCTACATTGAATTATTGATCATAGAGAGATTAACGCGTCAATAACGGAATAGATTCACCAATACTATCTTATTCCATAACACGTACAAATCAGAACGAAGTAACTGTAAGTAAAAAAGAATATTCCAATAGTTATTGTCGATCGACCCATTCATGGCATTTCTAACATAATCACACAGACAAAAAACAAATAATCTTGATGATTACTTCCATTTTTTTTCTTATATTTTGGAAGTAATATTAGTTTTATAGGCTGTCCAGTAAATAGAGAGAAGAAAAACAAACGTATAAAGTAACTAAGAGAAAAAAAAAGAGACGATAGAGAGAGAGAGACTATAAACAAGAACAAATTCAGCAGATAAGATTTATATGTCTGCTATACTTGTATTGTGCACCTGTTCAAAAATTTAAACGCAACAATATCTTCAATTTCACATCATCACTATAACATTCATTTATCGATAGATAAAACTATCTGAGTAAAGAATAAAGAAGATGATGCCACCAATTCTGACATCGATTCTCTTTTCTGTTGTGTTTTTATTAGAATCAACTTGGTAATCATGCACTTTTCTCTCTTTGCATGTACAAATACTAGCAATACTACTGTAGGTTTATTACGAGAAGCAGCAGAATGATAGATGCATAGAATAAACTAGTAGTAGAGACAATATATAGCGGAGCAATACAATATTCCTCCATCCTTTTCTTCTATGTTACTTCATATGTTGCCCTGTATATGCATATGTGCAAAAGAAAAGGAATTTTTCTTCATGGATTGCGACTGCTGGCATTTTATGTGCCCATATTATTATTGTTGTTGTTGTTGTTGTCGATGTTTAAGCCATTCATATATATATAGTTCTCTTTTTTTTTCCTTCTGATTTATCTTGTTGACTGGCCGACATCACTGCTGTGTTCTTACTTACGATTATGACTGATCACAAGCAGAAAAGAGAGAGAAAAAATGCTAGTTTGTTCTACCCAATATCATCATATAAGGAAAATATACGTCGACTCAGTATGGATCGCTTTTCTTTTTCTTCTTATAGTCGTGTCTGTACAAGAAAAAAGAAAGAGAGAGAGAGAAAAAAACGATTTCCTTCCTTGAGGTTTGTCCTCTTCTTGCGACATAAACTACCACCCACGCTGAAGATATTTCCGTATCTGGGGTACACAGCATCTTGTATACACGCATACATACGTATATACGTTCGCATAACGCGCACGTCTTTATACTCTTTTGTTGTTTTCTCATCAACTTAAGCTAGCAGAGCTATTGCTCCGCAGCAAAAACCCCTCGAAAAAGACAACGACAATCGTAACAGTACAATATTAGTCTTTGTGCTGTGAGTATAAACAATTAAATTCTGTAAATTTTCGCTTAAATCAACATAAAGATCATAAATTATACTTGAAATTTTGTTACACTAACACTTGAGAATAGAAGACACATGAAATAGAAGTGTGTGTGTGTGTGTGAGAGAGAGAGAGAATGTAATGACCTGTTATTATACCGCAAAAAAAAAGAATTATATATATGTCAAGATTTTTTTTGTGCATATATTATATTAATTATGGAATAGTAAATATAATTCTATTTAAAACCTACTAACGATGAGAATAAGTCTTAGTTAAAAAAAAATTTTTCTTCTTTTGTTACTTCTCTCTCTCTTTTTCTTGATCGACATACACAAAAGATTAGTGATGCCACTCATAGAGTGCTCAGCACAATACATGTTCTCGAGTAGAGAAAAAGAGAAGAAGAAGAAGAAGAAGATCATCATCGATATGCTATCGTATGATGAAATGTCGCTCATTACATATATATATATATATATATATATCGTAGAACTCTCACACTTGTGTAAATGTTCGCATAGTGACTGAGTAGGAAAAGAACGATTCGAATAAATAAACGTTTTTAGTTAGGTCATTCAACTTACAAAGAAGAAGATAATAATGATGATGAATAAATATACTCCTACATATACACCTTATCCTGTCACCTGTATGCATGAGACAAAAGTTGTGAATGAGTGAGTGAATATATAATAAAATAGTAATAAGTTGTTTTTTAGTATTTGATTATTCTATTGTTATGAAACCTTAGGAATTCTGTTTTTTTCATATGAAAAAACTTTTAGATATTTGACAGTTCGCGTTATAGTTGATAGAAAAACATAGAGAACACTTTGAGATACAATATACGCAGCAGTAAACGCAAAAATAACTATATTTTCCTCTTCTTTATAGACCAGTTGACATTCATTCATCAGTATGCCTATCTGCTGTGGTTTAGTCTTCTCTTCTTCTTTCTAACTAATATCTTATGTATCTGTTATTTCTCTTTAAAGAGAAGAGATGTCGCCTTCTCTAATATATTTCCCTATTAACTTGTTTCATTGATTATTTTACTTCCATAATTCTTATTACGGTAACTTTGTACGATAATTTACGAAGTAAAAAACCATTTTATCTTTTTTTTATTCCTCTTCTTCTTCTTCTTCTTCTTTCGATAGCACATCAATAGAACAAATCTGTCGTGGCATTTTCTCCTATATATATATACCACACGTTTGTATTTGTCTATGTTTCAAGTCAATCTCCTTTGTTGTTATTTTTTTTTATCAAAATATTTCATCGCGTGCACACACACATCTTACACAGGTGCCCTTCTTCTCTCTTTTATATATATATATATATTGACTGCTTCTTTAATAGAAGTTGGCGGCGGTAGAGATTTATTCTGTTCTTTCGCATATACGAACATATACATAAACTAATACAAACGATTTTTTTTGAAATTTTTTTTT